CTGTCCATCTCTCCACCTGACACTTCTCATTTGCACAGAAAAGTCATTAGACACGACAGAAAACTTTTTGAGCTTAAGGCTGAGGAGTCAAATGTCGATCTTTTTTCAGGGAAATCTACTTTAAATGAGTGAATGTAAGGGAAATTTGAGTAAATGATGGGAAAGAGAACAAGATAGTGATACTGAAGCTAAAGTTAAGCTTAAAGTGAGCCCTGACTAGCCAAGATCAAGATCGATCTGGCTAAGGTAGATCTGGTTAAGGTCGATCTAGCCAAGGTCGATCTGGCCAAGGTCGATCTAGCCAAGGTCGATCTGGCCAAGGTCGATCTAGGTTAAGCCAAGGTTTGAATAGGTTGGTCAGGGTTAGACTAGGAGCCGATACTTGTTTCACTACGGTATGACTAAAGACGAAAAGCAAGTCTGACTAAAGCTAAGCCAAGGCTGACTAAGAAGGGAGCCGGCCAGCAAAGGTTTAGGGTTAGCCAGCGTTAGCTAGGGTTAGCTAGAGTTAGCCATGCTTAGCTAGAGTTAGCCAGGGTTAGCTAGAGTTAGCTAGGGTCAGCTCAAAGTTAGCCAGGGTTAGCCAGGATTAGCTAGGGTTAGTCCAGGATTAGCCAGGTTATTTAGGGTCAGCTCAGAGTTAGCTAGGGTTAGCTAGGGTTTGCTAGAGTTAGCTAGGGTTAGTCCAGGCTTAGCGAGGGTTAGCTAGAGCCAGCTCAGAGTTAGCAAGGGTTAGTTCAAGGTTAGCCATGGCTTCAAATAAAGTATGTCAAAGTTACCACCAAGACAAGATAGGGTTTAACCAGAATAAGACGAGATCTAGGGTCAAAGTCCAAGCCAAAGTCCCGGGTCAAAGCCCAGAGCCAAAGCCCAGGATCAAAGCACAGGGTCAAAGTCCAAGCCAAAGTCCAGGGTCAAAGCCCAGGGCCAAATCAAGGCTAGACAAGACTGTTAGAGTCAATCCAAGGATTTGCCCAAGGCTTGCCGAGGGTTTGGCCCAGGTTGGCCCAGTTCTAGGCAGGATTAGGCCGGGATTAGGCCAAGGTTAGGCCAGAATTGCCATTGATCATTGACGCTCCCAAAGTTCGCGAAGAATAACAATTTTTTGCGGACAATTTTTTGCCCAACAAAAACTGGGAGAGCTTGATGATGAGGGTGGCAAAAAAATGAAAAAAAAAATGATAATGAGGTAAATTGAGGAATTTGGAAAGAATGAAAAATGAAAAAACGCTTAATTTTCCTCAATTTTCCTCAATTTTCTCTTAATTTTGGTCAAAGTTTAAAGAAAAGCGAAAAAAAGAAAAATTCTTGAAGTTTGTGTTTTAGCTTTTACGAAATGAGATCATTCAATGGTTAAATGATAAATTTCAGTAATTTCTTTCAAAAAAACAATTCTAAAAGTGTTATCGAAGGAAAAATCAGCTAGACAATTAGCTAGACAATCAGCTAGACAATCAGCTAGACAATAGCTAGACAATTAGCTAAACAATCAGCTAGACAACAGCAGACAACAGCTGACAACAGCAAAATCGCACATTGCTAAATCAGAGGAATTGTGCATTGTAGCTTGCTGTTAGCGACGCTAGACAATCAGCTAGACAATCAGCTAGACAATCAGCTAGACAATCAGCTAGACAATCAGCTAGACAATTAGCTAACTTTAAATGAATCAAAGATAATATAATATTCTCATTTCCATATTAAGAGAGGCTTTGAATCATTTGTTGAAATGTTTACTTCAAATTGTTACTTTAAATAGGTACATTTTAAAGAGTTATAGTCGAGACTGAATAAGCTGAATAATACTGAATTAACTGAATAAGCGAAAAGCAGCAAACCAGACGAGTCGGAAACTTTATGACTACGGAAAACATTAGGATTAAGTCTAGATCTAGATCTGAAGCTAGATTTGAAGCTAGATCTGAAACTAGATCTGAAACTAGATCTGAAACTAGATCTGAAACTAGATCTGAAGCTAGATTTGAAGCTAGATCTGAAGCTAGATCTGAAACTAGATCTGAAGCTAGATCTGAAACTAGATCTGAAACTAGATCTGAAACTAGATCTGAAGCTAGATCTGAAGCTAGATCTGAAACTAGATCTGAAGCTAGATCTCAAGCTGAAGCCTAGATCTAAAGCTTTAAACAATATCTTTGCACAATATTAATGTATACTGGGGTTACCGTTGGTTTATTTTACACACACATAATCACACATTAATCCCAATTTACACATTAAGATCTAGGCAATGTTCTATTGTTTGTGAGAATGGGACGATGTAGGAGACGATGTAGGAGGAGAAGGTTACTTTAGATAAGCTTTAGATGAGCTTTCGCCTTAGACAAGTTGGATCACAGACAAGACTATCCATTTGGATCCCTGGTTATCCCAATCCCGAGGGTAGGGGGCCTAGGATAACCAGTTTTAAACTCTCTTAAAGCCAAACCGAGCTTGAGAACCAGTTCACCATATGGGTGGGGCACTACAGCACTCGGTTCAGGGAAGATATCCCTCATCTGCTGGATTCGAGAGCCCAACATTGCTTAACTTAGATCGTAGATCGGTAGAACTGACGGAATACCGTGTTCCAAAGCAGCTCAGCGAAAGGTTTTTGTTTAGAAAAACAATCTGTATCAATTTTTAAACTCTTTTAAACCCAATGATCTAAATAAAATTGTTGATTATCTAGGGTTTTCTTTAGGTGAATGACAGTTGGAATGTTTGGATTTCTTCAAAAAGAAGAAGAAGAAGAAGAAGAAGAAAAAAGAATTCTTTTCCCAATCTCAGCTCTTTCCATGCACTTTCCTAAAGAAAGAAGTCATTTCGGGGATTTGAAAAGGCCATATTTGGCAAAACAGAAGCAAAAAGAAAGGAGGAAAACCTCGTTTCACCAGCCAATTGAGTTCCTCTTTCCTTTCTTTTCCTCCTCCAAAATCTCCTCCAACTCCATCATTTTTTACAAAGTTTTAAAGAAAATTTGAGAAAATTTTCTGATTATCTAGTGAATTTTGATGATTTTATAAAGAAAATATGAATAAAAACGTGCTATTTTTACCGTAATCTTGTCTTTATTTTCTCCAATCTCTTTTCTATTTTATCCAATCCAAGCCAGGGTTAGCTAGGGTTAGCTAGGATTAGCTAGGGTTAGCTAGAGTCAGCTGAGAGCTAGCGAGGATTTGCTAGGGTTAGCAAGGATTAGCTAGGGTTAGCTAGAGTCAGCTCAGAGTTAGCCAGGGTTAGCCAGGGTTTCAACTAAAGTATGTCAAAGTTACCACCAAGACAAGACAGGTTTTAACCAGAATAAGACGAGATCTAGGGTCAAAGTCCAGAGCCAAAGTCCAGAGCCAAAGCCCAGGGCCAAAGCCCAGGGCCAAAGTCCAGGGCCAAAGCCCAGAGCCAAAGCCCAGGGCCAAAGTCCAGGGCCAAAGCCCAGGATCAAATCAAGGCTAGACAAGACTGTTAGAGTCAAACCAAGGATTTGTCCAGGGCTTGCCGAGGGTTTGGCCCAAGTTGGCCCAGTCCTAGGCAGGGTTTGGCCAGGATTAGGCCAGGATTAGGCCAGAATTCCCATTGATCATTGACTCTCCCAAAGTTCGCGAAAAATAACAATTTTTTGCGGAAAACTCGGAGAGCTTGATGATGAGGGTCGCAAAAAAATAAAAAAAAATTGAATAGATTCGATATAAAAAGATAAGATTACGATAGAAAAAGAAAAAGGCTTAAAATGGCTTCGAAACAAGTACTTTCCATACTTTCCATCTATCCAAAGTTTGCGATAGCTTTATTCTCTAGCTTTAGCTCTATTCATTTCTCGAAACTGGCCAAATTTAGGCTTATTTTCAGTAAAGTAAACGCAAAGATTCGTAGACCAGGGTCGAGTACTGTACTTTGGTTGGGTGGAAAAGAAAATTTGGAAGAAAATTTGAATAAAAATGGCTTAAAATGGCTTAAAATGGCCCAAAACTAGTCTAAAAATGGCCTAAAAATGGCCTAAAATGGCTTCAAATGCATTGAAATGCGTTGAAATGCCTTCGAAATGGCTCAAAAATGGTGTCAAAATGGCCTAAAAATTGCTCAAATGGGCTTGGGATTCGTTGAAATGCCGTAAAAATGGCCCCAAAATGGCTCAGGATGGCCCAGAATTGCTCAAAATGGCCATCAAAATGGCTCAGAATGGCTCAAATGGGCTTGAAATGCCTTAAAAACGGCCCCAAAATGGCTTAGGATGGCTCAGAATTGCTCAAAATGGCTCAAAATGGCCTCCTGATGGCTCAGAATGGCTCAAAATGGCCACAAAATGGCCACAAAATGGCTCAGGATGGCTCAGGATGGGCCAGAATGGCTCAAAATGGCCATAAAATGGCTCAGGATGGCTCATAATGGCTCAAAATGGCTCAAAATGGCCACAAAATGGCCTAAAAATGGCTCAAATGGGCTTGGGATGCGTTGAAATGCCGTAAAAATGGCCCCAAAATGGCTCAGAATGGCTCAAAATGGCCATAAAATGGCTCAGGATAGGCTCAGAATGGCTCAAAATGGCCATAAAATGGCCCCAAAATGGCTCAGGATGGCTCAAAATGGCCCAAAATGGTCCCAAAATGGCTCAGGATGACCCAGAATGGACTTAAAATGCGTTGAAATGCCTTAAAAATTGGCCCAAAATGGCCCAAAATGGCTCAGAATTGCTCAGAATGGTTCAGAATGGCTTAAAATGGGCTTAAAATGGGCTGAAAATGGCTGAAAATCCGACTCACTACGATGGTTTTCTATAAAACTTCTCAAATATTCAATGAATCATCGAGTTCTTTTTTGTTTTACAAATTTTAAGGATTATTTACTTAACCAGGAACTTTAGTTGATCAAAAAAAGCAGAAGAAATGAGGATTTTTGAGATTTTTCTACTGAAAATCGACTGCTTTAGCTTAGATTGAAAGGAAATTGGAAAAAATTGGAAACGGAAATTCTCGAGAATTATCATGTCAGCCTATATTACATGAAAAATGAAGGAAATTTTCGTTTTGAGAATCAAAATAAAAGAGTTTCCAAAGGCGGATTGGCTTGTAGCTGAAAGTACACAGCTCTGCGTAAACGAAAGTACGTAAACGAAGTACACAGCTCTCCGTAAACGAAAACCAATCTGACGCACTCGTGAAAGCGATTCGATTCGGGAGAAATTCGAGAGATTTTGAGCCACTTTGAGGCCATTTTGAGCCATTTTCGGGCCATTTTGAGCCATTTTTGGGCCATTTTTGAGGCATTTCAACGCTTTTTAACCCCTTTCAGTCATTTTGAGCCATTTTGAGCCATTCTGGCCCATCCTGAGCCATTTTGAGCCATTCTGAGCCACCTGAGCCATCTTGAGCCATTCTGAGCCATCCTGAGCCATCTTGAGCCATTCTGAGCCATCCTGAGCCATCTTGAGCCATCCTGAGCCATCCTGAGCCATCTTGAGCCATTCTGAGCCATCCTGAGCCATCTTGAGCCATTCTGAGCCATCCTGAGCCATCTTGAGCCATTCTGGCCCATCCTGAGCCATTTTGAGCCATTCTGGCCACCGAGCCACTTGAGCCTCTGAGCCATCCTGGCATCCTGAGCCATCCTGAGCCATCTTGAGCCATTTTGAGCCATTTTGAGGCCATTTTTTGAAGAATTTTGAAGAATTTTGAAGAAAATTCGATTTCTTTTACGATTCTATCTTTTTGAGAGCATTTTAAGGCAATTTTGTGACAAGAATTCTAGTGAATTTCTCTCAAAATGACCTAAAATGGTTTAAAATGGCCTAAAATGGCTTAAAATGGCTTAAAATGCATTGAAATGCGTCGAAATGCCTTCAAAATGGCCTCAAAATGGCTCAAAGTCTTTAAAAAGTAGATTTATTCTAAGCTTCTTGTGCTTTTTGCGTTTAAATCTGTAAACGCAGCCTTTCTAGTGGATTGAAGCGCTCGATTTTCTCTCGAATCTCTCTCTCTCTCTTGAATCTCTCTCGAATCGAATCGGATTCGTCGAGTGCGTCAGATTGGCTTCGTTTACGGAAAGCTGTGTACTTTGAGCTAAACAGTGCTTTCATCGAAACGCACAGCTTCTAGTGGTCTTGATTCTTTGCGCAGTGCAAGGGCAGTCTAACGTGGAAACGCACTCCTTTTGGCACACTAAATGGCAAACGAAATCAAAATATTGCCGGCTTTCGTTTAGGCTCAAAAATAGTGCCTTAAAAATGGCTCAAAATGGGCTCAGGATGGGCCAGAATGGCTCAAAAAGGCCATAAAATGGCTCAGGATGGCTCATGATGGCTCAGAATGGCTCCAAAATGGCTCAGAATTGCTCAAAATGGTTCAAAATGGCTCAAAATGGTTCAAAATTGAGCGAAATTCGCTAAATAGGGTTGATAAATCAAAGAAAACCCAAAAAGAATTGGGTAATTAAACAAAAAAGGGCGAGTAAATGAAACGAGAAACTCTTGGAAATCGCGTAAAATTGCTGAAATTGCTGAAATTGCCTAAAATTGCTGAAATTTCCGAAATTTGCAACTTTTTAAGCATTTTATCCTTTAGAAAAATTCAAATTTGAGTCAAAATCTAGCAAAATTCAGCAAATTCAGCAAAATCCAGTCAAAATTCAATTCAAATTCAACAAAATCCGGTGAAAATCCAACAAATTCAACAAACAAAGCAAACAAACAAACAAATCAGTCAAAAATTCAACAAAATTGAGTCAAAATTGGACCAAAGGCAGCTAAAATTCAACAAAATTGGGTCAAAATCCAGTCGAAATCCAGTCAAAATTCAACAAATTCAGCAAATTCAGCAAATTCAGCAAATCCAGTCAAAATTGAGTCAAAATTCACGAAATTCAACAAAATTGAGTCAAAATTGGTCCAAAGGAAGCTAAAATTCAACAAAATTGAGTCAAAATTCAGCAAATTCAGCAAATCCAGTCGAAATCCAGTCAAAATTCAACAAATTCAACAAATCCTTTCAAAATTCGACAAACTCAGTCAAATTTCAGTGAAAATTGAATCAATTCAGATAAGAGAATCATTTTAAATCATTCAAAAATCATTTAAAACTTCAGATTTATATCTAAATTTTCAATTTTTAGATAAAAGACGGGAAATGGACGGCCAACGTTGACATTAGACGATGTTTCAATCAACAAACAAGTAAGGGATTTTAAGGGAACATTGACATTAGACGATGTTTCAATCAACAAACAAGTAAGGGATTTTAAAAGAACAAACGAAGATCAACAAAAAAGAATAAAAAAAAGGAATAAAAAGAATAAAAAAGAATAAAAAAGAATAACTCTAAATTAAAATCTCGATATTTCTTTCTAATTTCTAGAATTCGAATGTAGATTCAATGAACTCGAAAGAACGAACGAAAGAACGAAAGAAATGAATTCGAAAGAATGACTTCATTTCTAAATAGACTCTAGTGAATTCATTTCTCTTTGGAGATTCATTAAGATTTCTTTTCAAAGTTTATTTCAAAACAAAAACACTTGAAAAAAAGGTTTTTTCTGTTGAAAATAAGCTTTGGAGCGAAGCGAACCGGAGCGAATTTTTTCTCCAACTTGCAGCTCATTTTTAATCACCTTAAACTTGTCCGATGAGGAACATTTAATAAGATTTGAATAGCTTAAAACGTCAGCTTTTAGAAACTATTTGTTTTATCAAAAGTTGTTAACAAAAACCCATCTAAAATCGGGTTGCAAGTTGGTCAAAAACTTGACGATTATCGGCGGGGTCAATTTTTTGGCCAACTTGCAGCTCATTTTTAATTATTTTAAACTTGTCCGATCAAGAACATTTAATAAGATTTAAATAGCTTAAAATGTCAGCTTTTAGAAACTATTTGTTTTATTAAAAGTTGTTAACAAAAACCTATCTAAAATCGGGGTGCAAGTTTTCAATAGAGATTCATTAGATTTCTTTTCATTTCAGTTTATTTCAAAACAAAAACACTTGAAAAAAAGGGTTTTTTCTGTTGAAAACAAGCTTTGGATTAAAAAAGCTCAAAATTCAGATCAAAATAGCTAATCAAGTTGAAAAGAAACACTTCAAACATTCAAAAATGGCAGTGTTTCACAGAGATTCAGTCCTCAGGGTAACTAGAAAGTCCAAATTCAAAAAGCTAAAGATTAACTTTAAATGAAAAAGACTTTAGTAGATTAATAATGCCAAGAATTAGAGCTTTTAAATAGTATATAATACAGCCTAGTTTCTATGGAAAGTTTTTTCCGTAAAGGCTTTTCGATAAAGGTTTTTTGGTAAAGATTTTTCGGTAAAGGTTTTCTAATTCTCGTATAGAAATTTGGTTATAGAAAAGTCGAATTAGAGCTCATTTATAAGAAAATAAAGAAAATTCAAGAAAAGAAATCAAAGTTGAACCGCCAAATTTCGTTACGAGTCTCGGAGTTTAGGAAGCTTGGGAGTTTCTATTTTACTCTAGAACTCGACCCCCAGTAATCAGATGGACTTGTAATTGATTTTAAAATCATCTTCATTAAATTTGGTTATAGAAAAGTAGAATCTATTTTGTATATCCATGTATAAGAACATAAAGAAAATTCGTGTCAAAGTTGAACCTCCAAATTCCATTAACTCGGAGTTTGGGGACTTTTCTATTTTACTCTATAACTCGACTCCCAGTAATCAGCTGGACTTGAGGTTGGGTTTAAAATGATTCTCATTAAATTTGGTTATAGGAAAGTCAAATTTATTTTATATACTCATTTATAAGAACATAGAGAAAATTTGTGTCAAAGTTGAACTACCCACCTGCAAAATTTAATCAACTTTGGCGGTCTATAACTCGAGGTATAGGAATTGAATCGACTTGTAATTGCTTTTAAAAGGATCCTCATTAAATTTGGCTATAGAAAAGTAGAATCTATTCTGTATACTCATTTATAAGAAAATAGAGAAAATTCGTGTCAAAATTGAACCTCCAAATTCCGGAGTTTGGGAAGCTTGGGAGTTTCTATTTTACTCTATAACTCGACTCCCAATAATCAGCTCGAATTGAAATTGATTTTAAAATGATCCTCATTAGATTTGGTTATAGAAAAGTCGACTTTCTATTGAAGGTTTTTTCGGTAAAGTTTTTTCGAATTCTCGTAATTGTTGACTGTTGTTGACTGTTGACTAAAAGGTGTCCATAATTGTTGAATTCAATTTTCAATGAGAATTCAGGATAAAAGCAGAGAATAGTTTTTTATTGAAAGATATTTGGGTTAAGTTTTTCTTGAGAAATTTTCAAATTAACAATCAAAATTCGCACGTTTAGCCATTACCGATCTTTATCTCGAAGTGAGAGATCAAGGCACTGGAAAGAAAGGATCCGCGCAGATCAGGTACGAGAATTTCGATCAAATGTTAAAGGGATTGAAATTTGAAATTTGAAGAATAAGAATTTGAAAGCTGATAAAGAAAAAAATGGATTTTTACGGTTAACGGCGGGGTGGTAGGTGGCGAATTTTTGTCCAACTTGCAGCTCATTTTTAATCACCTTAAACTTGTCCGATCAGGAAGTTTTAATAAGATTTAAATAGCTTAAAACGTCAGCTTTCAGAATCCATTTGTTTTATTAAAAGTTGTTAACAAAAACCTATCTAAAATCGGGTTGCAAGTTGGTCAAAAACTTATTGGGGGGGGTCAATTTTTTGGCCAACTTGTAGCTCATTTTTAATCACCTTAAACTTGTCCGATGAGGAACATTTAATAAGATCTAAATAGCTTAAAACGTCAGCTTCCAGAAATTATTTGTTTTATGAAAAGTTGTTAACAAAAACCTAGCTAAAATTGGGTTGCAAGTTGGTCAAATCCCGCCGATATTCACTGTCGCCGGCGTTAATCGTAAAGGTTCGAAACAATGAGTTTAATTGCTTTTTTCAGAAAACTTGTATTCATTTTCGATTCATTATATTATTATGAATGAATATTTCAACAATTTAGACACGATCCACTCTCAACGGGCTTCCAAATCGTTCCACTAAAGCCTGGATATACAATAAACACTACAAAACTTTATTTGGCTGTATTTCAGGTGAAAAAAAAATAGGATTTAGCTGAGAAAGTCAATCAAAATTGATTAAAATCGATTAAAATAGATGAAAATCAAAGAAAATCGATGAAAATTCGATGAAAATCGATGAAAATCGATGAAAATCGATGAAAATCGATGAAAATCGATGAAAATCGATGAAAATCCGATCGAAATCGATTAAAATCGATCAAAATTCATTAAAATCGATCAAAATCCAATCAAAATCGATTAAAATCCGATCAAAATCAATCAAAATCGATCAAAATCTGATCAAAATCGATGAAAATCGATGAAGATCAATCAAAATCGATCAAAATCGATCAAAATCCTTTAAACATCGATCAAAATCAATCCAAATCGATCAAAATCTATTCATTAAACATTTATTGAACTAAAAACCACTGAATCTAACTTAAATAGTCTAGATTTTAAAGAGAAAATGTCAAAATTTGAATTAAAAGAGCAATTTCAGGATTTTATAATGAAAAAGCTTTCATTCTCGAGTCATTCAACCAAGAAAAAAGTCGATTTTGAGAGAATTTCTCAAAAAAAGGAGCATTTCCGGCTTTTTTCTTGAGGAAATCTCAATGACTGATTCAGAAAGGAAAGCAAAATATTAAAAGAATAGTAAAAAGACTTTAAATGAAGTTGAACTAAAGAACTGAAGACTTTTTGGATATGAATTTTTCATGCAATTTCCTTGAGTAGTAGGGAAAATGAAAATTTTACCCCCGGCTTGAACATTCTAGTTTTGGTCACATGCTATGTGAAAATGCCACAGCTAAGCTGTGCAACTTTAGCTTTAGCTTTAGCCTACTTTTCATACCCCACCTATTCCCTACCCCACCTATTCCACATTTGCCCCACCACAGGACGCCGAAATACAACGAACGCTACGATTCAACATCCATAGAATTTGTTACAGATTATGATGGGCGGCAGAATGATACGATCATTCATACGATCATTGATACAACCATTGATACAATCAGTCTGCAGCCAGACGATCATTCTGCCGCCAGACGATCATTCTGCCGATCATTATTTCATACGATCATTCATACGAAGCCTAGAGATGGGGTAAAGATTGAAAAGGTTCAGGTAAACGCCTGTGGGTTCCAATTTTGCGCCCAATTTGGCGTTGTGAGGGACAAAATGATACTATCAAATTGTCATTCATGTGGGGAGCAGAAGTGGAATGACGTTTCCAGTTTTGCCCCCATTCTAGATGTATCAATTTGCCCCTTCGCCAACTGTTTAGTCATAAAGGGTGGGGGCAGGACTGGACCTATTCCACATTTGCCACCCACTGGACGCCGAAATACAACGAACGCTACGATTCAAAATCTACCCCCGACAGAATTTTATACATATTGGGGGATTTTATACATATTGGGCAGAATGATACAATCATTCTGCCGATCATTATTTCGTGGAGGACAAGAATGAAAAGCCTAGAGTATCAATTTGCCACCTCCCCCAATTGTTCCATAAAGGGTGGGGGCTAATCCGGAAGCAGGAGCAGTGGGGAGCAGAACTGGAGTGATGGTGGGGAGCAGAACTAGAGTAGTGGTGGGGAGCAGAACTGGAGTGATGGTGGGGAGCAGAACTGGAGTAATGGTGGAGAGCAGAACTAGAGTAGTGGTGGGGAGCAGAACTAGAGTAATGGTGGAGAGCAGAACTAGAGTAGTGGTGGGGAGCAGAACTAGAGTAATGGTGGAGAGCAGAACTAGAGTAGTGGTGGGGAGCAGAACTGGAGTGATGGTGGAGAGCAGAACTAGAGTAATGGTGGGGAGCAGAACTGGAGTGATGGTGGGGAGCAGAACTGGAGTAATGGAGAACTGTTTAATTTTCCCAAAATTTCTCACATTTCCTCACATTTCCGGTTTTTTTTTCTTAAAAATCTCAATGAACAATTCAAAAATGAAATGAAATTAGAAAGAAGAAGGATTAAAATGAATTTGAACTAGAGAAGTGATCCAACTGAAGACGGAAGACTTTTTAGATATGAATTTTTCATGTAATTTTCTTGAGTAACAAAGAAAAAGAAGGTTTTATCATCAAAAATATGTCTAGAATGGCTGACGAAAGAGCTTTTAAACGAATATTTTCTATATAGATGTTCTATATAGATTTTAAAAACGAATTTCTAGGATCCCCACCACTCGGCCACTGATGGCGAGCTGGAGATGCGATGTGTGGGAAGTGAGCGGCCTTTGAGGGCACAGATCCACTCATACGCTGTCAGGTAAGAGTTTTTTGGAACGAGTATCATCAATTTTCCAAATCCTTGCCCTAATTAGTCATCTGAATGTTCTAAGAGATTGGGAAAAGCGTAAGAAAGCCAATCTAGAAGTCAGTCTTAGCGCCAGACCATATTTAATGAGTTTCAGTGAAATCTCTCAAGAATTATTTCACTTAAACTGAGTAGAGGATTTCAATTTCGTTCATCAACATAAAAGAGAGAGACTCAAAGAGATTCAATCAAGAGAAAATCCTCAATCTCATTAGTATCCGAGCGACAATCGACTCTCAACTTTGAGAGGTTATATAAAAAATTTGAGAGGTTAAATCGATTAGATAATGAGCAGCATTTTAGAAGACTTTCTTACGATTTATCTCCAGAAAAATCAGAATGATTGATTGAATTCTGGTGAATTTAAGCTCTCTGAAGTGAGGCTGTGAGGCTTGTGAGCCATCTTGTGCTGAGGTTAAAGACTATTCATTTTCAAATCAGCTAGAAAATAGGCTAGTAGGCAGAAATTGGAAAAAAAATAGAAAATAGGCAGAAAATAGGTAGAAAATAGGCCCTTTTAAACACCACCTTTATCCAAAAGGATCCCCGAATCAGTTAGGAAAGAGCCAGGTCAACTCAAACTGACCAAATTGGTTTAGCAGAGGATTTACCTTGTCGAGCTTACAAAGATCGTTCAAAGCTTACAAAGATACACGACAGGACACATGACAAGCTAGAAAAAGGCTAGAAATCTTCTACCTTTATCCAAAAGGATCCCTGAATCAGTTAGGAAAGAGCCAGATCAGCTCAAACTGCTCAAATTGGTTTAGCAGAGGATTTACCTTGTCCCTGGTTAATAGAGATCGTTTAATTAGCCAGTTTAAGAAAGTTACTTGTCACTTCTTGTCATTGCTTGTGATTTCTTGTCATCTCTTATCATTATTACCCTTTTAAACACCACCCTGTTACCCTTTTAAACTGTGGTGTTCTTCAGAGTTACCCTCAATTTTATCAGCTTCCTGTTACCCTTCCTGTTACCTGTCACCCTTCCTGTTACTGTGGTGTCCTTCAGAGTTACCCTCAATTTTATCAGCTTCCTGTTACCGTCAAATTCTTCAGAGTCGGTGACACAATGACTGTGGACATTCCGGAGAGTTGGACTGAGAAGTGTCATGTGATTCGGTTAAAGGTAAATTTTAAGAAATTCTCTAAAGCGAAATTCTCTCTAAAGAAATTCTCTAAATTCTTCTCAAAAGCGAAAACGGAGAGAAACATTTAGTGGCTACGAAAGCTGAATCGCGGAGGGGATTCTCGTGAGCGCTTAATGGTGATCCCCAAAACGGATTCGAGTTCGGAGAGTGGCGAGTTGAATCTCGCATTTCTTCACCCAATCAACTACTCATCGCAGTACACGGTGGGAGAGCGTGTCACTGTGAAAGCGAGTGTACAAGATGATACGTACAACTATATGGTGAGGAGTTTATATTCAAGAAAATAAGAAGAGCAAGTTAGTTTTTGTAAGGGGAGATTTGTTCTGGATTATTGTTATTATTGTTATTGATTGTTATTGTTGTTTTTGATTTGATAGAAGGGATTTGATGAAGGGATTTGATAGAAGGGATTTGAGATAATAGACTTGATATAAGGGCTTAAAAGCTTAAAAGATAATGACTAAATAATGGCACCAATGAGAAAAGTGAACTTTTGGTGATAAATCTAACGATAATCTGATGCCTAATCAAGCCTACAAGCGGTAAATTGAAAACCGTATTTTCTCTAATAGTAATGCACCCAAGCGAGCCGAGTTGATGATGATTTTACGGTTTCCAAGCTTTTGCAGAGGCTCAACACTCTAATCCCCTAGAAGATCTCATCGTCAGCTACATTTTCTGACCCCACATCGATAGGTTCTGATAAGCGGTTCTCGAGATTTCGAGGAAATTAGACGACGCTCAGGGTGCACTACTATTAGAGAAAATACGGTAACAGATTTGATATAACGGATTTGATATATGGGATTTGATATAAGGGATTCGATAGGAGGGATTTGATATAAAGGATTTGATATAAAGGATTTGATATAAAGGATTTGATATAAAGGATTTGATATAAAGGATTTGATATAAGGGATTTGATATAAGGGATTTGATATCAGGGATTTGATATCAGGGATTGATATAACGGATTGATATCAGGGATTTGATATAAGGGATTTGATATAAGGGATTTGATATAAGGGATTTGATATAAGGGATTTGATATAAGGGATTTGATATCAGGGATTTGATATCAGGGATTTGATATAACGGATTTGATATCAGGGATTTGATATAAGGGATTTGATATAAGGGATTTGATATAAGGGATTTGATATAAGGGATTTGATATAAGGGATTTGATATAAAGGATTTGATATAAGGGATTTGATATAAAGGATTTGATATAAAGGATTTGATATAAGGGATTTGATATAAGGGATTTGATAGAAGGGATTTGATAGAAGGGATTTGATATAACGGATTTGATATACCGTATTTTCTCTAATAGTAGTGCACCCAAGCGAGCCGAGTTGATGACGATTTTACGGTTTCCAAGCTTTTGCAGAAGCTCAACACTCTAATCCCCTAGAAGATCTCATCGTCAGCTACATTTTCTGACCCCACATCGATAGGTTCTGATAAGCGGTTCTCGAGATTTCGAGGAAATTAGACGACGCTCAGGGTGCACTACTATTAGAGAAAATACGGTAACAGATTTGATATAAGGGATTTGATATAGAGGATTTGATATAACGGATTTGATATAACGAATTTCATACAACAATTGATTCTAGATGTTTCTCTAAAAAGAATAAAGGTTAAAATTATCAAATTTCCCTAGAAAAGCAAAGAAAATATTAGAAAAACTGTAAAATTCTTAAAAATTTAGAAGATGAGATTATTTTAAAAGTCTAAAACAAACTTTAAAACAACGGTCAAATGCCAATTCCAATTCCAAAGCCGGATTTTGGAGCTAATCAAAAAAAACACCGTGTACAAACAGTGCCAGCCTTTTAAAATAAAGCCTTTTAAAATTAACTTTATTTGTGTTTCTAGAAAATTGGCTTTCTCTTTGTGTTTCTAGAAAAAAATTGGCTATTTACTGAATTTTTTCTGTCATTTAGAACCAATCTAAGATGAGAAAAGCTAAAAAAAAACGAAAAATGGCTTAAAAAGAGGTTAACTCTTTTCTTGGAGCTTTTCTTGTCACCAATTCTATTTTAAATGATCCCAAAGTATGCAAAATGTAGATAATTCTATTCTGCATTCAAATTCAATGAGATTTTTTTGAATTTAAAGATTTAAAAGAGGAATTTCATAAAGAAATCCTTAAAAACTCGGCTTTTTTTTATTTTTTCAGAAATCAGCTAAACTTACATAGAAATAAATGAATAAAGAAAAGAAAAAAAAACAAAGAAATCGAATAATCAATGCAAAAAGAGTTGGACAGAGTAAATGGACGGAAATAAATGGGAAAACAATTAGAGAATTGGTATTTAAGCGACTTGGGACTAATACTAATACGTTCCGAAAAAGCGCCTCTTTTAGAAAATTTCACAATAAGATTTTCACAGCTTGTTCTTGCTACACTAAGCTCATCAAGCTCAAGCTCAAGCTCAAGCTACATTAAGCTCATCAGGCCCAAGCTCAAGCTACACTAAGCTCATCAGGCTCAAGCCACACCAAGCTCATCAGGCTCAAGCTCAAGCTACACTAAGCTCATCAGGCCCAAGCTCAAGCCACACCAAGCTCATCAGGCTCAAGCTCAAGCTACACTAAGCTCATCAGGCTCAAGCTCAAGCCACACCAAGCTCATCAGGCTCAAGCTCAAGCTACACTAAGCTCATCAGGCTCAAGCTCAAGCCACACCAAGCTCATCAGGCTCAAGCTCAAGCCACACCAAGCTCATCAGGCTCAAGCTCAAGCCACACCAAGCTCATCAGGCTCAAGCTCAAGCCACACCAAGCTCATCAGGCTCAAGCTCAAGCCACACCAAGCTCATCAGGCTCAAGCTCAAGCTACACTAAGCTCATCAGGCTCAAGCTCAAGCTACACTAAGCTCATCAGGCTCAAGCTCAAGCTACACTAAGCTCATCAGGCTCAAGCTCAAGCCACACCAAGCTCATCAGGCTCAAGCTCAAGTTACACTTCAAAGGCTAGGCTATTGCTCCTAGGCTATTGCTCCTAGGCTATTGCCTCTAGGCTATTGCTCCTCCTAAATCTCTGAACTAAACGTTTCAACCATAAAAGTGCTAAGTCGACTTTCAAATTCCGTAAACTATCGTAATCTGCCTACCAGTTTCCATACAATTCGCTCAATTTTCGTAAAATTCGATTAGGAAATCACTAGGCTGAGAAAATGATAAAAAAATTGAGCTAAATGAATAGAAATCGGTTAGATTTTCAATGATTTTAGCTAAATTCTTGATCATTGAAAGCTTTAGAGGATCACTTGAATTGCTCTAAATTTACTTTAGTCTTTTTTTCTCTTCAAAAAAACGTTCAAAATGACTTTATGAGTGTCGTGAAATGGCCACTGAGCAAATAGAAAAGCGCTTTTTGAAGTTTTTTTGCTGTCAAATGTCAGATTTTTGCTTTTGTTTGCCAAAAAAAGCATCGTTTTTGATCAAAGCTTTTAACCAAAATCATAAAAGCATCGTTTTATTGGATTTAACGCTGATTCAAGCCAACATCAGCCATCAACATCATCAACAACAGCCAACAGAGATCTCAGCCAAGAGAGCCAACAACAGACAACAGACAACAGCCAAGCGATACCGAATAATCAAAGCGTTCTTTAAACTTAGAACTTTATAATACAAATTAGAGAGATAAAATAAGATTTTTGCTTTTGAAACGTCATCATCTTTTTCCCTCTTCTATTTTTGAATTCTTTAACAATTCATATCCATCTTTTTTCTCATTGTTGAAAATTCTTTTCTCTTAAAAACAAAGGAAAGATGATTTTTGAAGCGTTAGTACAAATTTTGAAAAGAAAAGGGAAGAAAATGATTTCTTTTGGGTCTTTTTTTCTAAGAGTAAATGGATTTGGACTAGAATTTGGGTTAAGTTAAAGAGAGTTTGACATCTTGCCGTCTCTTTTGATATCCTGCTCTCTCTCACACCCCGACAACTCGACTCAACTCCTCCAACGTATTAGAGACGAGTCCTGTGACTGACTGACCTGACGATGACTGACCTGAACTGCAGTTTATAGACTCGGAAGATCTATCTTTGTTTACAGTAGTACGATAAGACGAATAGATCACAAATGAGTGAAAGGGGAAGGGAGTGAGAGCCTCAGCCTAAGCCTAAGTCTAAGCCTCAGCCTAAGTCTAAGTCTAAGCCTCAGCCTCAGCCTCAGCCTCAGCCTAAGCCTAAGCCTAAGCCTAAGCCTAAGCCTAAGTCTAAGCCTAAGCCTAAGCCTAAGCCTAAGCCTAAGCCTAAGCCTAAGCCTAAGTCTAAGCCTAAGCCTAAGCCTAAGCCTAAGCCTAAGCCTAAGCCTAAGCCTAAGCCTAAGCCTAAGCCTAAGTCTAAGCCTCAGCCTCAACCTAAGCCTAAGTCTAAGCCTCAGCCTAAGCCTAAGCCTAAGCCTAAGCCTAAGCCTCAACCTCAGCCTCAGCCTCAGCTGTAAATGTGTCCTCCTAGCCGATCCCAAGGACCGCATCTTCTCAGCAATGAAAGGGAGCACAGGGGACACATTTATATAAGAATAGACAAATCGTTTCAAGAATAACAACAAACATAATAACAATCATAACAAAATTTTGCGCAAAAATATTTTTACCGAGCAGTAAGCAGTTTTTACAGTAAAATAAGACGAATAGATTACAAATGAGTGAAAGGGGAAGGGTGAGCTGAGAGCTGAGAGCTGAGAGCTTCGCTTGTCCTCTTAGGCAATCCCAAGGACCTTCTCGATGAGAGGAAGCACAGAGGAGAACACATTTACATAAGAATAGACAAATCACAAAGCACTCAATAATAACAATAGTAACTAAAATATTAGTTTGACTCGGAGTTGACATGGGAAACGATTGGGTAATGTAATTATTATTGAATGATACTTGAAAGAATCGAATGGAAAGAGTTGAATAAAGAATTTAATAAAGAATTTAATAAAGAAAAGAACTTAATAAAGAACTTAGTAAAGAATTTAATAAAGAATTTAATAAAGAATTTAATAAAGAGTTTAACAAGGAGTTTAATAAAGAATTTCATAAAGAATTTAATAAAGAAAAGAATTTAACAAAGAACTTAACAATTGTAAGAATATAAATCAAAAACTAAGCATTTATATTGTTTAAAACATCAGTACAATTGCGCTGATAAAGAACACCAAAACTACAGTCAAACTTCGATATCAACCAAACGATATCAGCCAATATTCAGCCAAACGCTTAAGGAAAAGCCTTTGATATAACAAACTTCAGCTTCAGCAAACTTTTTTTTTTTTGGAGGGGGGGGGGGGGGGGGGAAAGGGGGGGGGGGGAAAAAAAGGGTTGAAGGGGGGGGTTTTTTTGGGGTGGGGGGGAGGTGTGGGGGGGGGGGAATTTATATAGCTTCAGTGATAGAGAAATTGTAAAGACAAAATCTAGAAAGATAAAGATAAAGATAAAGGTAAAGATAAAGATAAAGATAAAGATAAAGATAAAGATAAGGATATAGATAAAGATAAAGATAAAGATAAAGATAAAGATAAAGATAAAGATTAAATGATAGAGATCTAAATCCGCTTACGATAGATGGAGGATTTTTTAGAGAACAAAAGAAAAGCTTCCAGGTTATTTGCAATGGAAAGGATTTGACTCGTTCTGCTCGAATCGATCACAGTAAAACGATCAATTTTGAGGCGACAAGGAAAATGTTGGGGAATTGTGTCATTTATCTTTACAGTACGAAGACTCAGCAAGTGGATATGTTGCTCTTTTTCGTCAGTGACAAGTGCACGGTGGGATTTGCATTCTTTGTTTTATTCAAACCTGTTTTATCCAATTTTATCAAATTTTATCCAACTCAAAGCATATCTAGCGTTGCGTTTAACGCTTTTCTTTGGCAACAACACGCAACACTGTTGCGTTTAATGCTTTTCTTTGACTTTTTTTGGCTTTTTTGGCTTTTTTTGCTTTCTAAGACAATTCAAAGCTGAAAAATAAGAATTAATCATAAAATCTGTCAATTTTATATAGAATAGAAGAACTGTAAGAATGTTTAATGCCTTTAAAAACCATAAACAAGCAGTACAACGCTGAAAAACAATTCAATTCAAGTTTAGGGTTTTTTAAAAAATCGTCTTATCGTCTCTTTCTTCATTACTTTTCTAGTTACTAGTTAATTGAGATAAGTAGAAGATGTTAATTACTAGAAGTTCATTACTAGAAGTTAATGACTAGAAGTCAATTACTAGAAGTTAATTACTACCGTAAATACGGTAATAGTACCCCCACCCTCATAATGACGGTGCGGAGTGTTGCGTAGCTCTAGCTTTGAACAAGTTTTTCTCGACACTGATTTACGCTACAATGCGCGCTTAGGTATCAAAAAATAGCCCTGAATTTCAGCTATTTTTTGATACCTAAGCGAGCATTGTAGCATAAACCAGTGTCGAGAAAAACTCGTTCAAAGCTAGACTACGCAACACTCCGCACCGTCATTATGGGGCGGGGGTACTATTACAGTATTTACGGTATGTTAATTACTACAAGTTCATTACAATAAGTTCATTACTATAAGTTCATTATATAAGTTGATTACTAGAAGTTAATTACTATAAGTTCATTACTACTTTTTGAGCTTCTTTATTGCACATATAAATTGAGCTGAGATTACGATATCTTTAGTTATTAATTGAGGATAAATAAACTAGAATCAAAATCTAGTAATATATTTGTTTCAGGGATCAACAATTCCATCAAGAGATACTATGAAACCTGGGCAAAAAATTACGATCACGATGAATGGACAGAAAAATGGATATGTGATTATGAGAACGCTTGATGAGAAAATCGCTAAATTAATGAAAGTGAGGGGAATTTAAAAACTACTGTAAAAGTACTGTAAAAGTACTGTAAAAGTACTGTAAAACTGCTGCAGCTAGTACTACAGCTAGTACTATAGCTAGTACTATAGCTAGTACTATAGCTAGTACTGTAACTAGTACTGTAAAAAATTACGATCACGATGAATGGACAGAAAAATGGATATGTGATTATGAGAACGCTTGATGAGAAAATCGCTAAATTAATGAAAGTAGGGGAACTTAAAAACTACTGTAAAAGTACTGTAGCTAGTACTGTAGCTAGTGCTGTAGCTAGTACCGTAGCTAGTTCTGTAGCTAGTTCTGTAGCTAGCATTGTAAGCACAGATTTCATAGGGTACTATTAGAGTACTCGAATTTAAGGCAGAAGTGAAGCTGAAGCACTTTCAAGTACTATTTTGAATAATGTAGCTAAAGAAAAGGTCTATTAGAGTAATGTAGATCTTTGAGAAAGGTCTATAATGCTGCAAAACTGCTTGCTAGACAATTTCTCTTTTTAGGAAGATCAACCCGGTTTGCCGAAACTCTGGGAAGGCCTCTTCTTTGCTCGAAATTTCCAAAAAGAAGAACAAATTCGAATGTTCAATTTAGTGACCTTAAAAAGCATCAAGAATATTATCAGTAAGTGGATTAAAGTTTTTTGTTTTTGAAATGTTTTATAGCAAAAAATTGTGCCATCGCTGGTTCTCTCTTTAATCATAAAATCTTGGGAGGAACTTGCCCCGAAGGAAAAGCCTCAACATCAGCTGTTTCTGATTTATGTATGCGACAAATCACAACGAATTGTCAGCCTGGCATCACTCCAACTCAAGGTTTACATCAATATTAAATCTTGAAGAGTAAAAGGGTCAAAAAAAAGCTAGAAATTAACCCCACTCCGATAATGACGATGCGGAGTGTTGCGTAGCTCTAGCTTTGAACAAGTTTTTCTCGACATTGGTTTATGCTACAATGCTCGTTTAGGTATCAAAAAATAGCTGAAATTCAGGGCTATTTTTTGATACCTAAGCGAGCATTGTAGCATAAACCAGTGTCGAGAAAGACTCGTTCAAAGCTAGACTACCCAACACTTCGCACCGTCATTATGAGGGTGGGGTACTTTTTCTCGACACTGGTTTATGCTACACTGCTCGTTTAGGCATCAAAAAATAGCCCTGAATCTCAGCTATTTTTTGATACCTAAGCGAGCAGGAATTAGCTACAAATTAGCTACATCTTAGCTACAAACTAAATCAATTACCTCCAAATTTCAGAAGCGGTTTGTGATCGAATGGGCTCGTCAGCCAGTTGCAGGTATAAAGAAATAGAAGCTGAAGACTCGGAAAGATTCCAACCGGATCTTTCGGAGCAATTCTTTTCATCAACTCGTCCATTTGGTGACGGTTTTACTGGAATGAATGGAATGAATGGAATGCCTGGAATGCCTGGAATGTCCAGCGATTTTGGCGGATTCGCTGGCCCACCCGGCCCATTTCCATCTCAAGATTTGTTAGTTTTTATGCTATTTTTATCTTTCAGCTCTGGAAAACTGCAAAAATTACGGGCTAAACTACCAGATAATGTGCGCAGGTTGGTTTAGGCATGAGCATTGCATTGAATGTTGTTAAAACAATTGCATTGCATGTTAAAACAGCTTTAAAAACTTGTCAAGTAAACTTTTCATCGCTCTATGATTGTTATAAGTACTCTAAAGTACTCTAAAGTACTCTAAAGTACTCTAAAGTACTCTAAAGACTTGAGATAGCTATTGGGTTGGTGAGTCGAAAACTGCGGGACTTTGAAATAAAATTTATTCAACCATAAATTCATTCCAAATAATTTCCATTTTTATTGACGACTTCTGCTCTTTTTTTAATCAGCTTAGCTCATTAATAATGATCCGGAATAAATAATAATCAAAAGGGACGAGGTCTAGACTGTATGGGGAATGCGCCAAAAGTTCCCAAAAAAGGCTATTTATTTTAGAGTGAGTCAATTTTGCAACATGAGGGCGTTGTCGTGGATGAGAACGATCTTTGACTTGAAGGGCCTATTCCTCTTCAGGGATTCATTCACCTTTCCCAATTGCCCACTGTATTTGATTGCGTTAACGGTCGTCTTGCTATCCAGCAACTCCCAGTACATCACTCCCTTCATATCCCAGAAAACGCAAAGCATAAACTTCTTCTGGTGCAAATCGAGCTTAGGATCACTTTCGGGTTTCTCGCCTGGCTCCACCCATTGCCACTTCCTCCAAAAGTTCACAGATAAAACCCATTTCTCATCTCCTTTCACAATTCGAGAAAGAAAAGATTTCCTTTTGTATTGTGAGTGATGGACGGCACTGATGGAGGCGCGCTGCCACTTCTGGGGGTTATTGAGGTCATGGGGCACTCATGGGTAAACTTGGGGCATCCAAGCCCCAAGTTTCGATTTAAATCCTAGGGTATGAAGGTGCCTTAGCACTGTAGCATGATCAACCCCTAACTCTTCTCCTAATTCACGCGATGGTACCCGGTGGTCGTTGGTAATGAGTTCGAGTAATTTGGAATGATCCAGTTGGGGTGCCGCTGCACGGCCCTCTGCATCTTTCAAAGATTTGTCCCCAGAACGAAACTTGGCAAACCATACTTGACACGTTCTTTCGGAAGGTGAGTCCTCCCAATATATCTTTTTAATATTAGCAGCTGCCAAGGCTGCACTGTGCTCTTGTAGGAACTCATGAAGAATATTAGCAGCTGCCAAGGCTGCACTGTGCTCTTGTAGGAACTCATGAAGAATATTAGCAGCTGCCAAGGCTGCACTGTGCTCTTGTAGGAACTCATGAAGCATGACATGACGAATATTTCCCGGTGGCAGATTGTCGAGTGCAATAGAAGAAGTGAAGAAAAATACCAAAAAAAATACAAAGCTAGATGCGTAATTTTTTTCGCAATAATTTGAGGAAATGTTGAAGTAAAAAAACCCTCCTTTCAGCTGGTTCTATGGTGTTGTTTTCTTTATTTGCGAGTCCCGCGAAATAGCCCGCAGTTTTCAATTCACCAATTCCATAATATCTTTTGAAAAGATTGAATTGAAATTAAAAATTGAATCAAAATCCTTTACAGTTTTGTAAAATTTTCATTAAATTTGATTAAATTTGATTAAATTTGATTAAATTGGATTAAATTTGATTAAATTTGATTAAATTGGATTCAATTGGAGGATTCAATTTGATTCAATTTGATTCCATTTGATTCCATTTGATTCAATTTGATTCAATTTGATTCCATTTGATTAAATTTGATTAAATTGGATTCAATTTGATTAAATTGGATTCAATTTGATTCAATTTGATTCCATTTGATTCAATTTGATTCCATTTGATTAAATTTGATTCCATTTGATTCAATTTGATTCCATTTGATTCAATTTGATTCAATTTGATTCCATTTGATTAAATTTGATTAAATTGGATTCAATTTGATTAAATTGGATTCAATTTGATTAAATTGGATTCAATTTGATTCAATTTGATTCCATTTGATTAAATTTGATTCCATTTGATTCAATTTGATTCCATTTGATTCAATTTGATTCAATTTGATTCCATTTGATTCAATTTGATTCCATTTGATTCAATTTGATTCAATTTGATTCCATTTGATTCAATTTGATTCCATTTGATTCAATTTGATTCAATTTGATTAAATTGGATTCAATTGGATTCAATTTGATTCCATTGGATTCAATTTGATTCAATTTGATTCCATTTGATTCCATTTGATTCCATTTGATTCCATTTGATTCAATTTGATTCCATTTGATTCAATTTGATTCCATTTGATTCAATTTCATTCCATTTGATTCAATTTGATTCAATTTGATTCAATTTCATTAAATTTCATTCAATTTGATTCCATTTGATTCAATTTCATTAAATTTGATTAAATTTGATTAAATTGGATTCAATTTGATTCAATTTGATTCCATTGGATTCAATTTCATTCAATTTGATTCAATTTGATTCAATTTGATTCCATTTGATTCAATTTGATTCAATTTGATTCCATTTGATTCAATTTGATTCAATTTGATTCAATTTGATTAAATTGGATTAAATTTGATTAAATTTGATTAAATTGGATTCAATTTGATTCAATTTGATTCAATTTGATTCAATTTCATTAAATTTCATTCAAATTCATTCAATTTCATTCAATTTCATTCAATTTCATTAAATTTCATTAAATTTCATTAATTTCATTATTAAAATGACTCTTTTAACAAAAATTTTGGGAAAAACAAAGCACGAAAAGAATTTTCAAAAACTTTTTGCATGTTTTCGTGTGCCATTTGCTTGAGTCATTGCGTCAAATGAGCAAATGCATTCTAGCAGCTCGTTCATGCGTTCATTTGGTCCATTCTAGCAGTTCGTTCATGCGTTCATTTGGTCGACCGACGACTTTTATGGACGATTTCGAGTTAGAGCCACCGATTCTCCCGTCAGATGAGATGACTTTCACACGCTCGTATTTCCCTCATGTTTGGATCTTTGATGACTATTCGTTGGGGTGAGTGAAAGAGTTGAACAACGAACAAAATGAGTTATTAAGACCCCAATTGATAGATTGATAGATTGATTTTCAATTAATAGACTTAATAAATGCCTTCAATCGATTCTCCGACCTCGAAAACCCTAGGAAACATTTTGAGTTGAGTTAAGGAGTTGTACTCGAACAAAATGAGCTATTAAAGCCCAGATTTCAATTGATAGACTTAATAAATCTCTCCAATCGATTCTCCGGCCTCGAAAACCCTAGGAGAGAAATTTCGAGTTAAATAACTTCTTTTCACTTTGCAGATCACATTTTAAAGTACTTTATTAAATAGTTTTTAGTCCATTTGGCACTTCAGCGATTCAAGAAGAAGCTCCACATTCGGTTGGTCGTTGGGTGATTCAAAGTGATTATTGGGCGCCGAATGAGTTCTCATTTTGTTCAGCGATTCCAAAATATGTCACTTCAACAAAATCTTTCTTTATGGAGGTGAGTTTATTCAAAAAAAGCTCAAAAATTGAGGCTTAGGCTCCAAAATTGAGGCTTAGGCCCAAAAATTGAGGCTTAGGCCCAAAAATTGAGGCTTAGGCCCAAAAATTGAGGCTTAGGCCCAAAAATTGAGGCTTAGGCCCAAGAATTGAGGCTTAGGCTCAAAAATTGAGCTTAGGCCCAAAAATTGAGGCTCAGGCTCAGGCTTAGGCTTAGGCTTAGGCTTAGCTGGCTTAGGCTTAGGCTTAGGCTTAGGCTTAGCTGGCTTAGGCTTAGGCTTAGCTGGCTTAGGCTTAGGCTTTGGCTTAGGCTTAGGCTTAGGCTTAGGCTTAGGCTTAGGCTTAGATCATGAAGCTGAGCTCATCAAAGTGGGCCTACAAAACTCAAAATTGAGGCCTACAAAACTCCTGAAACTCTAGATTGACATGCCGAAAAATGTTTACGTAAATGAATCGGTTACAGTCAAGATCTCAGTGACAGCAAATGATTTAGAAGAAGAGAAACAGGTATGCCTTTCTCAATTTGCATAAAAACAGTAATGATTCTTTAGCCAATAATCCTCTTTAGCCAATCATTTAGCCAATCCTCTTTAGCCAATCCTCTTTAGCTTTCAATTTGTTACGGTAATCTGCCGAGACAATTGTGCGCGGATATGGGCCCGGCTGGAACCCATGGACTACCCGCTTACTCAAGAATTGTTCTTTCCAAAACCCATCCAATAACAACAAAGACTTTCAAGTAAGAAAAAAGATCAGCTAAAATACACTGCTCATAATGATAGCCGCAGTACCAAATTCAGAGATGCGGCTATCATTATATAGATATTTATATGTAGATATTGAGATATTTAGATTTTTAGATATTTATAGATCATTGGAGATATTGAGATTACTTTCAGCATGAGATTTTTCAAAACCGGAGAAGTGAAGATTGTGTTCATGCTGAGGACTGAGGTTTATGTGCCTGGGGAAGAGAATCGATGCGCAAATGGGGAAGTGTTGGATTCGATTGAGCAACCGATTATGATAGCGGTGAGAAAATTTGTATTCTGTCTACTTGTCTACTTGTCTAAGCTAAACTCACTTTTGAAAATGGATTGTAAAGCCTTTGACCTTCAAAGCCTTGAACCAAAGCCTTGAACCTTCGAAGCCTTGAACCAAAGCCTTGAATCTTCAAAGCCTTGAACCAAAGCCTTGAACCTTCGAAGCCTTGAACCAAAGCCTTGAACCAAAGCCTTGAACCAAAGCCTTGAACCAAAGCCTTGAACCAAAGCCTTGAACCAAAGCCTTGAACCTTCGAAGCCTTGAACCAAAGCCTTGAACCAAAGCCTTGAACCAAAGCCTTGAACCTTCAAAGCCTTGAACCAAAGCCTTGAACCTTCAAAGCCTTGAACCAAAGCCTTGAACCAAAGCCTTGAACCAAAGCCTTGAACCAAAGCCTTGAACCAAAGCCTTGAACCAAAGCCTTGAACCAAAGCCTTGACCAAAGCCTGAACCAAAGCCTGAACCAAAGCCTTGAACAAAGCCTTGAACCAAAGCCTTGAACCTTCAAAGCCTTGAACCAAAGCCTTGAACCAAAGCCTTGAACCAAAGCCTTGAACCTTCAAAGCCTTGAACCAAAGCCTTGAACCTTCAAAGCCTTGAACCAAAGCCGAACCAAAGCCTGAACCAAAGCCTTGAACCAAAGCCTTGAACCAAAGCCTTGAACTTAAGCCTGAACCAAAGCCTTGAACCTTCAAAGCCTTGAACCAAAGCCTTGAACCAAAGCCTTGAACCAAAGCCTTGAACCAAAGCCTTGAACCAAAGCCTTGAACTTAAGCCTTGAACCAAAGCCTTGAACCTTCAAAGCCTTGAACCAAAGCCGAACCAAAGCCTGAACCAAAGCCTTGAACCAAAGCCTTGAACCAAAGCCTTGAACCAAAGCCTTGAACTAAGCCTTGAACCAAAGCCTTGAACCTTCAAAGCCTTGAACCAAAGCCTTGAACCTTCAAAGCCTTGAACCAAAGCCTTGAACCAAAGCCTTGAACCAAAGCCTTGAACCTTCAAAGCCTTGAACCAAAGCCTTGAACCTTCGAAGCCTTGAACCAGAGCCTTGAACCAAAGTCTTGAACCAAAGCCTTGAACCTTCGAAGCCTTGAACCAAAGCCTTGAACAAGCCTGAACCAAAGCCTTGAACCAAAGCCTTGAACCAAAGCCTTGAACCAAAGCCTTGACAAAGCCTGAACCAAAGCCTTGAACCTTCAAAGCCTTGACCAAAGCCTTGAACCTTCGAAGCCTTGAACCAGAGCCTTGAACCAAGCTGAACCAAAGCCTTGAACCTTCGAAGCCTTGAACCAAAGCCTTGAACCAAAGCCTTGAACCAAAGCCTTGAACCTTCAAAGCCTTGAACCAAAGCCTTAAACCTTCGAAGCCTTGAACCAGAGCCTTGAACCAAAGTCTTGAACCAAAGCCTTGAACCTTCGAAGCCTTGAACCAAAGCCTTGAACCAAAGCCTTGAACCTTCAAAGCCTTGAACCAAAGCCTTGAACCTTCAAAGCCTTGAACCTTCAAAGCCTTTGACCGCCAGTTTAAAAGTTACTAAAATCTAGTTTTTGTATGTAATTTGTTTAAAAGCCTAGTAGTTTTTAAACAAAAATAAAAACCTAATAGTTTAGTTTTTAAACAAAAATCAATTAGTACAATTAGTTACTAATTACAGAAAAGAGCCGAAACAGAAGAGCACTATCGACGATTGATTTTATCAATCGAGAAACCAGTGAGCAAATCGTTAAATGATGCGATTGAAGAGGTCGATAGGGCGGATGTTATACGGCCAAATATCTTAGGTAAGTGCAAAAATCGTGAATCAAAACCTTCTCTATAAGCTGTATTTACTAGGGAACTTACTAGGGATTTTGCAAGCACAAATCGCGAACCAAAACTATAATAGGTTAATGCAAAAGAAATTTTCGTTCAGTTTAAAATGTTCTGTTTTGTTTTTACGCAAGTCGGACACGGGCGACATGACCGGGTTTTTAGTTTTTGCCTAAACAATCTAGATCTCTGTAAAAACAGAATTGACTACCTAGAACACCGAGCTCTAGAACAGTTCTAAGGACTGCCGTAGCTCACCAAACAATTGGTGGTGCCGGGGCAGTGCCGGAATCACCCGTTCTTGCCATCCATGCAGATCTATGATATCAAATATCTATGATATCAGATATCTATGATATCAAATCTCTATGATATCACATGACCGTTCCCTAGCTACCGTTAGAATTCAAAATAAGCTGGATAATTGTAGGCCTGATCTTTCAGATGTTTACGAGTATCGAGCTCCTCACGAGGACGCACTGATCTCCGAAATTCACACCAACATCGCTGACACTGATTCCGTTTACAGTATCACGGCCGAAATCTCGAGTAGGATAGCTTGGAAAATGTTTATATTTAGATTTTAGAGTTTTTACCGTCCATTTACATTCCATTACGTATTTCAAATGAGTTGCGAGAGTCGGAAGCGTCAAGAAAAAAACGAGGTACTATAATTGAACTAAGTTGGGCGCTCTTGATCCAGCTTCGAACGTCGGTGCAAAGTTCTAAAAGACACTAAGAACTACGATAACCCAGTAGCCGGTTTTCATTGGAATCAGTCTAATTTTGATCTTATTTATTAAGGAATGATAAAGCTCAGTGAATGAGCTAATCAAATGGAAACTAGAGGCTAGATTATTCTTTAAATGGAAACTAGCAGCTAGAAAGAGATTGAGATGACTCTTTAAAAGAGATTGAGATGATAAGAAGCGATGATTATATAGATTTTTAGGAATTGTTGGTTATGGAAACACTTTCCTCTCCGATGTCATCAAAAAGCTCTCTGTTGAATTGTACAAATTCAAATTAGAGCGAACGGTGTTGAGAAGAAATGATGCAACGACGGAGTTCTTGGAGAACAATATTGGAGCTTGTGATTCAGTTGAACACTTCAGTTAAGCGCTAAATTTTAGTGGTGGCTGACATGTTGCGATTCTCGGATTGCTCGACGAACTCTTCTTGTGGTTATTATGAGTACGGACGACCGATCAATCAAAATCAACGATCGCCAGTGTGAGCAAAAGTGTGAAACGATGTGAAAACTGAATCTGACAAGGGAAAGACACTTTTGATCTGGCCTTTCGGCTCTTATAGAGTCTTATAGAGTCAATCCATCTTATAGAGTCAACAATATTTTCGTCTTTAAGCCTCAAATCCGTTTTTAGTTTTTTCTGCAAGCTTTCAGCATTGAATAATAGAGTTAAATGCACCTGTAGCTTTCCTGCACTTGTAGAAATGCACTTGTAGCTTTCCTGCACTTGTAGAAATGCACTTGTAGCTTTCCTGCGCCTGCACCTGTAGAAATGTGACAACAAATCTTAAACTCTTAAACTTTACTTATCTACTCACTCTGATACTTCTAGCTTTGTCAATTATTTATTGAAGTTATAGAAAGGTGTAGAAACTAGAGCCAATGAGAAACAGACTTTCAAAACAGCTAAAAAAACTTTGTAGGACTCGAACTTTAGTGGAGAAAGACATGACAAGATCGGTAGTCTAGTAGACTATCCACTAGACCACCGGGACTCTCGTCAAGCTATTCGGCAAGCGTGTGGCGGCTTCTTAACTAGAGAAACAAGCAAAGGAAACAAATAAGGAAGACAAAAAAACTTTGACGAGAGTAGGACTCGAACTTGAGAGCAAAAAGACGTGACAAGATCGGTAGCCAAGACCACTATCCAGTTTGAGCTCCCCATGACCGACTGTATAGGATGGATTTGGTCTGGAGTCAAGAGCCAGCTTTTTTCAGTGCCTTTCCCTTGTCAGAGCCAGGCCAGGCCCGGTCAAACCAGATGGGCTAGGCTATGGAGGGCTAGGCTAAGCCTAAAGCCAAGCCAGACAAAGCCAAAGTCAAGACTTGGCTCTAGTCTTGCTTGCTTTGGCCAGGCCCGGAAAAATCGAAAGAACAAAATCCAAGAAATAATACCGGTTCCAATCAAAACCAGCTCCAGTTTAGCTTAGTTTTTCTAGAGCTTTTGAACTTCTTGTGGGCTTTATTAGAGAAGTATTGAGCCAATTTATAATGAAAACTTTGACAAAAGAATCTGCTGTCACTTTTAGTCTAACCGCAATGTCAACCTCGCTTCTTTGTGAAGCGATCGCTGACGAGAAACTCGTTTGCGGGAGTATTCGATGGTTGCAAGAAGTGATGGTTCAAGATTTCCACGAAAACGAGAGCAACTCATTCACAAATTTCAACGGATTAGCTGACATTGTGAGTTTCTTAAAGAAGTTTTGATCTCATTTGCAAAAGCTGAGGTTTACTGAGGTTTTGCTGAAGTTTGCAAAGCATTAAACTCTTCAGGATTCCTCTGATCGTGCCTGGTTTTTGCGGGGAATGTTGTTACAAATCTCACAGGATTGTGCTGCATACACTTGTGTGGTTTGTCTTTCTTGTTGCCTTGTAATTTCTTGTTGTCTTGTGATTTCTGTAATTTCTGTAATTTCACATTTTTGCTTAAGAAAAACGACGAAGCTTGGAGCCGACTTTACGAGTATTTCTACGACTTTGAGGAGAACGATTTGACTGATTTGAGAGCCGTTGCAGCGCTGGCTTATATGGCGACAAATGCGACGAATCACGTGCTAAGGCAGAAATTGAATGCATCGATTAAAGGTGATCAAAAAATTGCTTTCAAAGATAAGCAATTGTTTAGAAAACGTTTTCCCCTATTGGGAAGCCGGGCGCAGATCGCGTAACGTGCTCGATCGGCTGCAGAACGGGCAACAGAATTTCTTCAACTTGAAAGGGATCAAGGTAGGTTCCAAAGTACGGTAGGTAGGCCCAGGCTACAGTAGGTAGGCCCAGGGTACGGTAGGTAGACCCAGGCTACAGTAGGTAGGCCCAGGCTACGGTAGGTAGGTTCCAAAGTACGGTAGGTAGGCCCAGGCTACAGTAGGTAGGCCCAGGGTACGGTAGGTAGACCCAGGCTACAGTAGGTAGGCCCAGGCTACGGTAGGTAGGTTCCAAATTACGGTAGGTAGGCCCAGGGTACGGTAGGTCCCGGGGTACAGTCGATTCCGGGTTACGGTAGTTTATTAGGCTTTCAGGGTACGGCGACTTAGGGTAGCTCAGGGATACAGTAGCAGGCTTTCAAAAGCTGCAGTCCTTGAACATGTTCAGAGTGGTGACGTGCTGGTGAACGCATTGGGAGTGCTTGCGTTTGTCGGTCGAAGTGTCGATGTGCCAAAGTTGATGGATTTCGACTCACTCGCCGATTGGATTTACGAGCAAAAGAAAGAGGATGGGACTTATGAAAATGCTTTGGTGAGGTTTGGAAAGCTTTCTAAAACTTGTGAGGGACCAATCTACTAGATAAAAGAGGTGTCTGTCCGTCTGTCTGTCTGTCTGTCTGTCTGTCTGTCTGTCTGTCTGTCCGTCTGTCTGCCCGTCTGTCTGTCCATCTGTCTGTCCGTCTGTCTGTCCGTCTGTCTATCCGTTTGTCTGTCCGTATGTTTGTCCGTCTGTTTGTCCATCTGTCTGTACGCGCGAGTTCTCAACTCTCCGTGGTCCAATTTACATGATTTTTAGTTTGTTAGGCTTAGAATTCTATGTACTTGTGCATCTCATATTTCGTTTTTTAAAAGTTAAAAGTCACGACACAGCTGGGAGTCGAACCCAGATCGTATAGGCCGTATACAAGCGTGCTCTCAACTGCGCCAAGCATGCGTCGCCTGAAATATCGAGAAAAACCCGCTGTTAGACGGGTTTTTCGACTGGTTCCTTATAAAGTTGCTCTCTAATTCTTGGACTTTCAACAATTTCCCTTTTAGGACACTTATTTCGCAGCTCGTGCCCTTTACGAGTACCGTAGTCGGAAAGTCGACATCGGGCCGCCGAATGAGAATCTCATTGTTGAGATCTCGGCTCCGCATTTTGCCAAGAAAATTGTTAATGTTACTGATACGTCAATGCTGATTTATGTAAGTTAACATTTTCTAACGATAAAAATAACTAAAGTTTAGCTGCCGACAAACGTTCGAAATATCACAATCAAAACAAAAGGCTTTGGTAAAGTAAAGGCCGGGATTCGTGTATTAGCTGCAAGGGTGAGTGAAAGTTCAATTTAAGAAGTTAATTAGTCAATTTAAGAAGTTAATTTGTCAATTTAAGAAGTTCATTTCGTCTATCAAATCTTTATCAAGTCTAAAAATCATTGGATTTCGATTTTTTTATGTTTTATAAGTTGAAAATCGAATATTTTAGCGACAACGAAATCGAAGAGAGCTTTCCGAGCCGGATCTTCCAATCAAAATGACCGTTAATCAGCAAAAAGATCAACAACGAGATATCATTATGCAGACTGTTTGTTTAACGTGAGTAATTTAACTAATTTAGTTAATCAGACAAAAAAATCGAAACCGACAATTGTAACCGACGTCTACTGGACAATTTTTTTGACTTCTTGTTCTTGTTCTTGTTTGCATTGATCGCTTCTTGCTTTCTGCACGAATTTGGCACTCGTTGACGTCAAAATATCTTCCCGTTTTGCACGTAATTCATCCGATCGAGCCGTCACAGTGATACGAGCCTTGAGTACTTTTCGAATATCGGGGAAGCGATCCGATTATCGGGAGAGCGAAAGGAAAATCGGGGGAGCAAGCGCTCCATATGTTGGCAGCGCTCCATATGTCCTATATTATACAAACTATCGCCATAAAATCCGCGAATTACCCGTTATTGTCGTGATTGTCGTGAGTTCCTGGCTTCATAGATGAATGAACTTTAAAATTGTGACCAACGGCTTGCTTTGTTGCTTTGCAAGCTTTGCAAAAAGTTATCGACTCGAGTTCCTCTTGAATGCTTGGGGGCCTTTCGCCGTGTGCAAGTGTCACATACCCAGCGAAATAGATCTTTTCCCTTGGAGCGGACTTTCATCGATTCGTCACATTTGCAAATCCACGACTGACTGACTGATGACTCCTTTGGTGACGAAATAATCGATTGCCGTCGATTCTTTGAACGCACAAATGTCGGAGGAGCGCTCCCCCGATTTTCCTTTCGCTCCCCCGATATTGGAAAAGTACCGAGCCTTGGAGTGATCGGTAGAAAGAGCAACATATTTTCTACCCATGATGTCAACAGTGTATCAGCAATCGGATCGATCCAAATGGTCAAACTGATGGGTCGATGCAAATCAATCCATCAGCTGCTCAAATCTGTGCATACTGTTGACATCATGGAGTTGACGCAAATGCATCACAAAGTTGATAGGTTTCCCTCGTCACCTGCCGGTGTCTTCTGTGCAACACTTGTTGGCTTTCGCAATGTGAAATGACGACGCCATCCTTTGCATCAAAACTTTGCAACCATCATCGGCTCGCTTGAAACTCCATTAATTTGTGGTCCTAGAAACTTCGAGCAATGTCACGCGCCTTATTCTGCATCATCTTGCAGAATAATACACAATTCTCGTTTGTGGAGTATTCATTGCAAGATGGCGTTGTCGAGTTTGCAAAATCGTAACCGACGTTTATCAGACAATTTCTTGACTTCTTGTTTGCACTGATCGCTTCTTGCTTTCTGCACCAATTTGGCAGTCGCTATCGTCAAAATGTTGCCCCGCTTCTCGATTGGTGTTCTTCTTACATCTCCGATTGATTTCAGTTTGAAACACGCATCTCCACTTCCGTTTGCTCAAATTGCTTTAACGATCACGTCACCTAAATTTAAAAAATTACTAGTTATAAATAAATCCGAAATAAAAAAACTAAAAGTAAAGTAAAAAGACTAAAACTAAATTTTAAAAAAGTAAAAGTTACAAGAAGTAAAACAAAATGAAAATGAAATAAAAAAATGGAAAGAACAAAAGAAACAAGCCAAAGATTACGGTAGTTATAGCACAAAATAGAATTTAAGAGAATTTCTAAAGCAGGGCTTGATTGTTGACATTTTGTTGACAAATCAGGCGAAGATCTAGCTTCTAGCTTTGCCTAGACTGGCTTGGTAAAGCTTTGTCTAAGTCTTTTAATAAAATAAATACGGATTTGATAAAAAAATAGAGAGAAGATTACAGAGAATAGGCTAGAATTACAAAACTACAAACTACAATTTAGCAAATCACTTTCAGTTCTTTGTCTCCATTAATCGACACTTTCGAGATCGTTCACGGGCTTTTCACCGGTTTCACAACTTACTTTGACAAGGTGGAAATCGTTGGGGTAAATTTGCAAAATTAAAGCAAATAGTTTTCATAAACCAATTTCAGCAATCCGATCTCAAAATGATCAATCTGCCGATGGTTTCCTCGTATGCGATTCATATGACCGTTCAGCTGAACAAAACGAACACACAAGGATGTTATAAAGTGAGCGGAAATTGAGATAAAGGGTTTAATTAAAGGCTTTAAGTATTGGAACCGTATTAGATCAAAAGAGGAACCGTATTGGATAAAAAAAGAACCGTATTGGAACCGTATGGGAAAAACCGTATGGGAAGAACCTATGGGAAGATAAACGCCCTTTTTTAGTCCTATTCAATTATCCAATTCATCCAGATAGCGCTTTTTTAAATTAGTAATTATTTTAGACCTTTAGTTGATGGTTTCTAGTGTAGCTTACAAGAAATTTGATATCTAGAAGGATAGCTGAATAGCTGATTAACGATTAGATAGCTGATTAACGATTAGATAGCTGATTAACGATTAGATAGCTGATTAAAGATCAGATAGCTGATTAAAGATCAGATAGCTGATTAAAGATCAGATAGCTGCTCAAGATCAGATTCATTCATGATCTGTTTAGGTAGCCGTTTTCCCGCCAAATCATCCCCATGAGCCGACCTCTTTAGCGCCGGTGGAGATCAGTTGTCGACATCCAGTAAATGGTGAGTGAATACTTGTTTTTTGAGTTCAATTCTATTTTCGAGTTCAAATCTAAACTAGGTCATAGATAAACTAGGTCATAGAAACATTCTAGATATCGTTGGTCAAGTGTTGATCTCACATCCAGATGCGGTGGCTCGGGGGAAAACAAAACGAAACGCCGCCGTGCACGCCGTTTTGAGGCTGAGAAAGGTCGACTGTTTGATTGAAAAAGATTCTGAATTGAGATTAAAACTAAAAGTAATGGTAATTCTCTCTAATAATAGTGTACAACCAATGGTATTCTCTCTAATAGTAGTGTAAAACCAATGGTATTCCCTCTAATAGTAGTCTAATACCCGCCGAGCCGAGTTGACAACTACTTTACGGTTTTTCTAGTGATCGAAACCTTATGTTTGTGCTATTTGTTGATGGAAAATTTGTTTGGGAAAATTTGCTTGTCGGTGCTCTTGGTTTAGCGCAATCGTCTGCAGATTGATCGTTCGAAAAGCGTCGATTACCACCTGAAAACTTTGCTCTACATACCTTGTTTTCTCTAATAATATTGCACTCCGATTTGATGACTATTTTATGGTTTCTAAGTTTTCCCAGAAGCTCAACACTCAAATCCCCAGCTAGATCTCATTGTCAGCTACATTTTCCGACTCCACATTGATAGGTTCTGGTTTTTGAGATTCCGAGTAACTTAAGCAAAGCCTAAGATTCGCTACTATTAGAGAAATAACGGTATATCAATGTTTCACTGTACATCGATCACCGTCTAAACGTTTCTCGGTTGCCCCATTGTACTGCACGTCACTTTTCGGGTTAGACAATTTGTTTTTGAATCGATACTGAAGGTTTAATACAAGCTCTAATACCTCTCTAACACTCCTAGCCAAGTTGATGACTATTTTACGGCTTCCAAAGTTTTCCCAGAAGCTCAACACTCAAATCCCCCGCTAGATCTCATCGTCAGCTACATTTTCCGACATCGATAGGTTCTGATAAGCGGTTTTCGAGGAATTTAGCCAAAGCTTAAGGTGCGCTTTTCATTCGCACCGATTCGGGACCTTCAAACTGTTTATCTCTTTTCTGGGATTCCCTGAACCATTCGATTGTTTATTATATTGTAGTCTAACGTAGTCTAGCGTCAAAAAGGCTAAAAAGCGGCTTAGTCACTTCTTCTTCCCCTTTACGGATTCGAAAAAGGAAGCACCTTGTACCAAAGGGAAAAAAGCAAGTGTGATTTTTCTCCGCGAGTTATCAGCGAGGAATTTTCGGAACCTTATGTTACCGCGGTTTGCCAGATGGCGAGCGATTGCGCAAAGAAAACCCGATCATTTCCTAGGGATTCTACTTGCTTTAGAGTCAAAAAAAAGTGCTTTAGTGCTTCTAGAGTCACAAAAAGATATTCATCTGTAAATTTGTACCTAGGGGATTTTCAGGGTCAGGAAATCTATTGGAGATATTTATTCTATTGAGGCTAAGAATTGGAACTGAAAAAAAGGTCTCAAAAATGCCTAGCTGAGACTGTGAGTTCTCTGTACAGATGAATGTGGTGAATTCTCTGTAGAGATAAATGTAGTGAGTTCTCCGTACAGATAAATGTAGTGAGTTCTCTGTACAGATCAATGGAGTGGGTTCTCTGTACAGATCAATGGAGTGGGTTCTCTGTACAGATAAATGTAGTGGGTTCTCTGTACAGATAAATGTAGTCAGTTCTCTGTACAGATAAATGTAGTGGGTTCTCTGTACAGATAAATGTAGTGGGTTCTCTGTACAGATAAATGTAGTGGGTTCTCTGTACAGATAAATGTAGTCAGTTCTCTGTACAGATAAATCTCTGTGCATCAAACTACGAAAACTAAGCTATTGGGTTGTCCAGTTATGAATGCGCGCTTTTACTATTTTGTAAATTTCTCAAGATATCGAACAGTTGTATTTGAGTGTTATATATCATTCGAAAGCTGAAGATCTCCTCTACATTTTGGAATAAAAAAGCTTTTGAATTCATTCAACTTTTTGGGAATTCGACTGCACAAAGGGAGAAGACATTTTCGAAAAAACCCATTCCAGCTTAGCTATTCCTCAAGTTTTATGGTGTAAAATAGCCGCCCAGAAAAGAAAAGAAAAGAAAAGATGCTCTGAAATTGTTATATTTAAAAAAAACTTGTATTGATATATCTATTGGCCAAACATCAGACGGTTGACTCAATTTGAGCGGAGCCAAAACTCGATCCAAAGGCACCCTTCCATTTTTTGGTCACCTCTTCTTCTGTGCAGTCAATTTGCCCAAAAGCTCGACAAATTCAAAAGCTTTTTATATCAAAATGTAGAGGAGATCTTCAGCTTTCGAATAATACTCATATATATCTTTTTCTTGATTTCGGTATCTTGAGAAATTTACAGAATAGTAAAAAGCTGGACTAGATTCATAATTGGACAACCCAATAGTAAACCTTGTGATTCTGACAATATTCAAGTGTTAAAAGTCGAGAGTCAAAAGCTAAATGTGAAATGCTAAACGTTAAATGTGAAATGCTAAACGTTAAATGCTAAATGTTAGAGTCAAAAGTCAAATCTACACAACCAATCTTTCAGCATTCATCCAAACGGCGAGCTCGTGCCGCAATCGATGAAACGATCGAGTCTGTGTGTTTCAAGTTTGAAAAACTTTGATAATTTTCAATATTTCCTTTCAGTGGTGGTCAGTGTACTTGCGGTGAAAGTACTTGTGCGGTTCGGTGCAATTCCTGTCAACGATCCACCCCGCAAAGCGTTCGGAAAGAGATCTGTCGAGATGGGGCTTTTGGTGAGTTTTGAGGTGTGCTCAAACTTGTAAAGTACTGCTTGTACTGCTTGTACTGCTTGTAAAGTACTGTTCGGTTCAAAAATTGATCTAGACTTTCTAGATTTCTAGATTTCTAGATTTAAATAATTGATCGCTTTTTGAAGACTTCAACTTACCAAGGTGGCTATTTTATAGTTTACCCCACTTACAGAAGTGCTTGTCTAGTTTTGGCTCGAGGACTTGTTTCAAACAGATTTCTAGGCAGGCAAATTTCGGTCAAAAGCTCAGGACTTGATTTTGTTGACAAATAAGGCGAAAATCTAGCTTCTAGCTTTACCTAGACTGGTTTGATAAAGCTAGAAGACTGGTTTGGTAAAGCTAGAAGACTGGCTTGGCAAAGCCAGCCTGCTGTCTAAACTAAACAAATCTAAACAAGAACTGAAATAAAGTGCGCTAGATTAATGCAGATGAGATCACATAACACAAAAAGGGCCGATAAAAAGCAACACGATATAATTAATGCAATAACGTAGCACGGACAACGTCAAGAATCCACTAGAGCTTCAAGATCAACATCACGATCATCTATAGATAATTTAAAGGTTTTGAGACTATTGGACTCTCTGAAAAAGATGTGAAATAGGAAACGGATCAACTGAATATCTTGAATTCTTGAATAACTTGATTTCTTGAATACCGTATTCTCTCTAATAGTATTGCGGTCCGAGAGGGGGTTGAAAAAATAGTAGTGCACCCTTGAAAAGTTGGATTTATAAGGCTTCTTTTTCATCTAAACCTTTTTGACTGAATATCTTTATGTTTATGTGACATTCTAAAGTTATTCAAGCAAGCAAAAGTGAGGCTTTTTTTATTCATTTGTTAACTCTTCTTCACCTGAAAAAGTTCGCAAAAAACTAAAATTGTTGTGCAAATTGCCATCTTTTTGTTGTTTCCACACGTTGTTTTAGTGGTACATTAACTCAAATTTTCTTGCGAATTTCGCGCAAAGCTATAGTTATTTTTTGCTCTTATATACCTGTATAAAGTTTGAGATTGACTTACCTTTTGCGGCGCTTAACTTTATTGTTATCAAAGCTCAATCCTAGAAAATAATCCATCATGTTCGATTTTAATATTATATAATTTTTGTTGATCACCTTTACTATTGTCTAAATAATCTTTTTCTTTAGGTATGGATCTCGATGGGAATTCGCTTGATGGATTCGAAAACTTTCGAGCTCGTCGTGAACACGAGGAACATGTGGAAAGCTTCAAGAGGATCGACAATCAAGTGACCGAGCAAAATGCTGGCTACAACATGACCAAGGATGTTGCCGAGGAGTCTTCGTGTGAAGCGGATGCACCATCGGCGAGAAAGCGATGTTTCGACATTCAAACAAAGCTGAAAGCGATTGCTCTTGCGGAAAAAATAAAGGATAAGTCGGCTGCAGCGCGAAAATTTGGAGTCAGTCGTCAAAACATCCAAACATGGTGTCGCCAAAAGGAAGAACTCGAGAAACAAAACAGAGATAACGGAAAAGGAAAAAAAACGAATCAAAGGCGGTGGACGAAAGCTCAAGGATATCGATTTTGACAAGGATCTCGTTGCTTGGATTCAAGAAATGCGGGCAAAGAAGATGCGAGTGACATGAAAAATGACACGGGTTTGGAATGCTTGGAACGAGCTCCCAAAAAACCTCATTATAAGATTGTTCAAGAGTTGTGCAATTACCACAGCTACTGATGGCTCTGAACATGGTATCATTCATTGCTTCAAAAAAGAAGGGCCGATTCCTGAAGGCGCAACACTTCTCGCCAATGCTCGTCTCGAACAATCGATCAAAGGAGTAAAGGATCAACTCAAAAATATTGAACTGGATGAGGATGATGATTCAAATGATGATTCTGTTGTAGATCTTTTTGTCTAGCTAACTTTTTGTTATCAGAAGTCAATAAATTTTTAGAAAGTCGCTTTTTTTTGAAAGAATTTTTGGAACAAATCTTATATCTGTCTTACTTTGGTAATTAATAAAACTCTTTAATAGTATTGCACTCTCTAATAGTATTGCGGTCCAGGAGGGGGTTGAAAAAATAGTAGTGCGCACTACTATTAGAGAGAATACGGTATCTTGAGTTCTTGGATTCTTGGGTTTCGAGACTATTGGACTCTCTGAAAAAGATGTGAAATATGAAACGGGTTAGGTTGATAGATAGAACACATAAACAAACATAATTAGAGTATTTTTCTCTTAAGAAATAGTGTGAAATAGGAAACGGGTTATGTACGGTATTCTCTGTAATAGTAGCGCACCTTAAGCTTTACCTAAATTCCTTAAAATCTCGAAAAGCGCTTATCAGAACCTATCGATGTTGGAAAATGTAGCTGAGGATGAGATCTAGTGGGGGATTAGAGTGTTGAGCTTCTGGGAAAACTTAGAAACCATAAAACAGGCATCAACTCGGCTCGGCGGGTATTAAACTACTATTAGAGAGAATACGGTAAATCAATTTCTGATATTAGCACGTCATAAGCTCATTGTACACAAGAAAAAGATGTGTTTAAAGTATTTGAGAATAAAGTTTCCCATAAAACTTATAATTTCCATAAGAAATTTTCCATAAACAAATAGCACAAATATAACATTTCGATCACTAGAAAAACTAGCAAAATATAGTTATTAAAAGAATTGAATATGGTTGGCATTTGAAATTGGCATTTGGGAAAAAGTACAAATTGTCAATTTCCAATTTCTCTCACTTTTCTCAGCCACTTCACTGTTTTCATGGTGTTTTTGGAGATAAAATAGAGAAGAATGAAAGAAAAGAGTACAATTATTCGATTTACATTGAAAGAATTAAGACCAAGGGGTATAAGGATTTCAATAACATCAACTTTTTTCAGGTATCTTCGGTAAACTCATCGAAAAGCGTGAATCCACTATTTCTGTCGGTTCTTCAACTGCCATTTACAATATCTATAAGATGCATGTTTTGCAAACGTTGATGAGAGATGAGATAATCGAAATGAGAAGTGAGATTTTGAGGGGATAATGGAAATTCGGAAGTTTTAGATAATCAAATCGAGATCTGGTTGAGGAAATGCAATCAACGATGCAATAAAGATATTTCGATAAACAAAGAAGAATCGTATTTTGTGATCGGTGACAGAAATGATTTAATTGTGGATACGGATGCTAGGTGAGATGAGAAATACGTAGATTGCGAACGTCAAATCGAAGAAGGGGCGGAATTAACATGGCTGCTGTCTCTGTCATTGGCAATCTAACTTTGAGCTCAAATATCTCGGTGTTGCTATCTCCAATTTCAATATTCTTGGTATCATTGGATTCGCCAAGTCTTTCTCTATCGATTGGTATAAAAACTATCCAAATTGGATCATCAAACACCAAGAAATCTGAGCCTAAAGGGGCGGGGTGCCTTTCTTGGTCCATTTGCCATTGGCAATCCAACTTTGAGTTCAAATATCTCGGTGTTGGAATCTCCAATTTCAATGTTCTTGGTATCATTGGATTCGCCAAGTCTTTCTCTATCGATTGGTATAAAAACTATTCAAATTGGATCATCGAACACCGAGATATTTGAGCTTAAAGTTAGATTGCCAATGGCAAAGGGGGCGGGGCGCGTATAAAAGACTGAGCAGCAAATTTGAGTTCAATTGAACAGCCTAAAGCCCAGAAATTCGGGCTCAAAGGTGGATTGCTAATGGCAAAGGGGTCTTTCTCTGTCGATTGCTAATGGACGAACCTTTTATACGCGCCGCGCCCCTTTGCCATTGGCAATCCAACTTTAAGCTCAAATATCTCGGTGTTCGATGATCCAATTTGAATAGTTTTTATACCAATCGATAGAGAAAGACTTGGCGAATCTAATGATACCAAGAACATTGAAATTGGAGATTCCAACACCGAGATATTTGAACTCAAAGTTGGATTGCCAATGGCAAATGGACCAAGAAAGGCACCCCGCCCCTTTAAGCTCAGATTTCTTGGTGTTGGATGATCCAATTTGGATAGTTTTTATACCAATCGATAGAGAAAGACTTGGCGAATCCAATGATACCAAGAATATTGAAATTGGAGATAGCAACACCGAGATATTTGAGCTCAAAGTTAGATTGCCAATGACAAAAGGAGCGGAGCTTATGGGCTTATATACGATGCGATTTATGAATATGAAAATCTTTTTAAATATCAGAATACTAGCCATTCTCTTTGATTTCCAATTCCAGAACAAACTACGTGCTCCGATTGACGGATCGTTTCGAAAAATCGGTTTCCGAGTGTGGTCTCTATCAAAATATTTTCTGGAGTGGACCATTCAATTACACGAGTTGTGACGATTCGAAAAGACGCTAAAATAGAAAATGTATTAACGAATCTAAAGATATTCAGCCAAGTACTTCACCTTTTCTATTCAAAATCATTGAATTGAATTGAATTATTGAATAGCAATCGAGTTTTTGTTTATTATTTGTGCTTTTCTGTGCTTTTCTGTGCGCATTTTCTGTAGATACGTGTACTCTTTTTGAAACAAAAACGTTTAAAATGCTAAATCTTATTGAAAAGAAAAATTTGATTGTCTGTTAACATTTATAAATCCCATTTTTTTATCAATTGAATAAACGATTTCCATGGCGAACATTTATAAGTTTTCACGGGATAGATTTGTGTATGGTTTTCGTGATTTTTCTTCAACGAAATCGTGAATTTCTTCCTTCTGCTACACTATCGTTTCAATGTTTCACGCTTTTTTTTCTATTGACTGCCACGAAGCGTCGTGGTGGGACGCTCTTGATCCAGCTTCGAACGTCGGTGCAAAGGGTGCGCTAAAAAAAATTGTCACGACACAGCTGGGAGTCGAACCCAGATCGTATAGGCCGTATACAAGCGTGCTCTCAACTGCGCCAAGCATGCGTCGCCTGAAATATCGAGAAAAACCCGCTGTTAGACGGGTTTTTCGACTGGTTCCTTATAAAGTTGCTCTCTAATTCTTGGGCTTTCAACAATTTCCCTTTTAGGACACTTATTTCGCAGCTCGTGCCCTTTACGAGTACCGTAGTCGGAAAGTCGACATCGGGCCGCCGAATGAGAATCTCATTGTTGAGATCTCGGCTCCGCATTTTGCCAAGAAAATAGTTAATGTTACTGATACGTCAATGCTGATTTATGTAAGTTAACATTTTCTAACGATAAAAATAACTAAAGTTTAGCTGCCGACAAACGTTCGAAATATCACAATCAAAACAAAAGGCTTTGGTAAAGTAAAGGCCGGGATTCGTGTATTAGCTGCAAGGGTGAGTGAAAGTTCAATTTAAGAAGTTAATTAGTCAATTTAAGAAGATAATTTGTCAATTTAAGAAGTTAATTTGTCAATTTAAGAAGTTCATTTCGTCTATCAAATCTTTATCAAGTCTAAAAATCATTGGATTTCGATTTTTTTATGTTTTATAAGTTGAAAATCGAATATTTTAGCGACAACGAAATCGAAGAGAACTTTCGGAGCCGGATCTTCCAATCAAAATGACCGTTAATCAGCAAAAAGATCAACAACGAGATATCATTATGCAGACTGTTTGTTTAACGTGAGTAATTTAGCTAATTTAGTTAATCAGACAAAAAATCGATACAATTGTAACCGACAATTGTAACCGACGTCTACTGGACAATTTTTTTGACTTCTTGTTCTTGTTCTTGTTTGCATTGATCGCTTCTTGCTTTCTGCTGGCACTCGTTGACGTCAAAATCCCGTCAAAAGCTTCCCGTTTTGCACGTAATTCATCCGATCAAGCCGTCACAGTGATACGAGCCTTGGGTACTTTTCCAATATCGGGGAAACGGTCCGATTATCGGGGGAGCGAAAGGAAAATCGGGGGAGCAAGCGCTCCATATGTTGGCAGCGCTCCATATGTCCTATATTATACAAACTATCGCCATAAAATCCGCGAATTACCCGTTATTGTCGTGATTGTCCCTGGCTTCATAGATGAATAAACTTTAAAATTGTGACGAACGGGAGCTTGCTTTGTTGCAAAAAGTTATCGACTCGAATTCCTCTTGAATGCTTGGGGACCTTTCGCCGTACGCAAGTGTCACATACCCAGCGAAATAGATCTTTTCCCTTGGAGCGGACTTTCATCGATTCGTCACAGTTGCAAATCCACGACTGACTGACTGATGACTCCTTTGGTGACGAAATAATCGATTGCCGTCGATTCCTTGAACGCACAAATATCGGAGGAGCGCTCCCCCGATTTTCCTTTCGCTCCCCCGATATTGGAAAAGTACCGAGCCTTGGAGTGATCGGTAGAAAGAGCAACATATTTTCTACCCATGATGTCAACAGTGTATCCAGCAATCGGATCGATCCAAATGGTCCTGATGGATCGATCCAAATCAATCCATCAGCTGCTCAAATCTGTGCATACTTGTTGACATCATGGAGTTGACTCAAATGCATCACAAAGTTGATAGGTTTTCCCTCGTCACCTGCTGGTGTCTTCTGTGCAACACTTGTTGGCTTTCGCAATGTGAAATGACGACGCCATCCTTTTGCATCAAAACTTTTGCAACCATCATCGGCTCGCTTGAAACTCCATTAATTTGTGGTCCTAGAAACTTCGAGCAATGTCACGCGCCTTATTCTGCATCATCTTGCAGAATAATACACAATTTCTCGTTTGTGGAGTATTCATTGCAAGATGGCGTTGTCGAGTTTGCAAAATCGTAACCGACGTTTATCAGACAATTTCTTTGACTTCTTGTTTGCACTGATCGCTTCTTGCTTTCTGCACCAATTTGGCAGTCGCTATCGTCAAAATGTTGCCCCGCTTCTCGATTGGTGTTCTTCTTTACATCTCCGATTGATTTCAGTTTGAAACACGCATCTCCACTTCCGTTTGCTCAAATTGCTTTAACGATCACGTCACCTAAATTTAAAAAATTACTAGTTATAAATAAATCTGAAATAAAAAAACTAAAAGTAAAGTAAAGACTAAAACTAAATTTTAAAAAAGTAAAAGTTACAAGAAGTAAAACAAAATGAAAATGAAATAAAAAAATGGAAAGAACAAAAGAAACAAGCCAAAGATTACGGTAGTTATAGCACAAAATAGAATTTAAGAGAATTTCTAAAGCAGGGCTTGATTGTTGACATTTTGTTGACAAATCAGGCGAAGATCTAGCTTCTAGCTTTGCCTAGACTGGCTTGGTAAAGCTTTGTCTAAGTCTTTTAATAAAATAAATACGGATTTGATAAAAAAATAGAGAGAAGATTACAGAGAATAGGCTAGAATTACAAAACTACAAACTACAAACTACAATTTAGCAAATCACTTTCAGTTCTTTGTCTCCATTAATCGACACTTTCGAGATCGTTCACGGGCTTTTCACCGGTTTCACAACTTACTTTGACAAGGTGGAAATCGTTGGGGTAAATTTGCAAAATTAAAGCAAATAGTTTTCATAAACCAATTTCAGCAATCCGATCTCAAAATGATCAATCTGCCGATGGTTTCCTCGTATGCGATTCATATGACCGTTCAGCTGAACAAAACGAACACACAAGGATGTTATAAAGTGAGCGGAAATTGAGATAAAGGGTTTAATTAAAGGCTTTAATCAAAGGCTTTAATTAAAGTCTATAATATTTAAATTTTTAAAATTAAGGTTAAACCATTGAAATTTGAGTGGAAAACGATACTTTTCTATTGGAACCATGTTAGATCAAAATAGGAACTGTATTAGAACCGTATTAGATCAAAATAGGAACTGTATTAGAACCGTATTGGAACCGTATGGGAACCGTATTAGATCAAAAGAGGAACCGTATTAGAACCGTATGGGAACCGTATTAGATCAAAGAGGAACCGTATTGGAACCGTATTGGAACCGTATTAAATCAAAAGAGGAACCGTATTGGAACCGTATGGGAAAAACCGTATGGGAAGAACCTATGGGAAGATAAATACCTTTTTTTAGTCCTTGTTCAATTACCCAATTCAGCCAGATAGCGCTTTTTCAAGTTAGCAATTATTTTAGACATTTAGTTGATGGTTTCTAGTGTAGCTTACAAGAAATTTGATATCTAGAAGGATAGCTGAATAGCTGATTAAAGATTAGATAGCTGCTCAAGATCAGATTCATTCATGATCTGTTTAGGTAGCCGTTTTCCCGCCAAATCATCCCCATGAGCCGACCTCTTTAGCGCCGGTGGAGATCAGTTGTCGACATCCAGTAAATGGTGAGTGATTACTTGTTTTTTGAGTTCAATTCTATTTTCGAGTTCAAATCTAAACTAGGTCATAGATAAACTAGGTCATAGATAAACTAGGTCATAGAAACATTCTAGATATCGTTGGTCAAGTGTTGATCTCACATCCAGATGCGGTGGCTCGGGGGAAAACAAAACGAAACGCCGCCGTGCACGCCGTTTTGAGGCTGAGAAAGGTCGACTGTTTGATTGAAAAAGATTCTGAATTGAGATTAAAACTAAAAGTAATGGTAATTCTCTCTAATAATAGTGTACAACCAATGGTATTCTCTCTAATAGTAGTGTAAAACCAATGGTATTCCCTCTAATAGTAGTCTAATACCCGCCGAGCCGAGTTGACAACTACTTTACGGTTTTTCTAGTGATCGAAACCTTATGTTTGTGCTATTTGTTGATGGAAAATTTGTTTGGGAAAATTTGCTTGTCGGTGCTCTTGGTTTAGCGCAATCGTCTGCAGATTGATCGTTCGAAAAGCGTCGATTACCACCTGAAAACTTTGCTCTACATACCTTGTTTTCTCTAATAATATTGCACTCCGATTTGATGACTATTTTATGGTTTCTAAGTTTTCCCAGAAGCTCAACACTCAAATCCCCAGCTAGATCTCATTGTCAGCTACATTTTCCGACTCCACATTGATAGGTTCTGGTTTTTGAGATTCCGAGTAACTTAAGCAAAGCCTAAGATTCGCTACTATTAGAGAAATAACGGTATATCAATGTTTCACTGTACATCGATCACCGTCTAAACGTTTCTCGGTTGCCCCATTGTACTGCACGTCACTTTTCGGGTTAGACAATTTGTTTTTGAATCGATACTGAAGGTTTAATACAAGCTCTAATACCTCTCTAACACTCCTAGCCAAGTTGATGACTATTTTACGGCTTCCAAAGTTTTCCCAGAAGCTCAACACTCAAATCCCCCGCTAGATCTCATCGTCAGCTACATTTTCCGACATCGATAGGTTCTGATAAGCGGTTTTCGAGGAATTTAGCCAAAGCTTAAGGTGCGCTTTTCATTCGCACCGATTCGGGACCTTCAAACTGTTTATCTCTTTTCTGGGATTCCCTGAACCATTCGATTGTTTATTATATTGTAGTCTAACGTAGTCTAGCGTCAAAAAGGCTAAAAAGCGGCTTAGTCACTTCTTCTTCCCCTTTACGGATTCGAAAAAGGAAGCACCTTGTACCAAAGGGAAAAAAGCAAGTGTGATTTTTCTCCGCGAGTTATCAGCGAGGAATTTTCGGAACCTTATGTTACCGCGGTTTGCCAGATGGCGAGCGATTGCGCAAAGAAAACCCGATCATTTCCTAGGGATTCTACTTGCTTTAGAGTCAAAAAAAAGTGCTTTAGTGCTTCTAGAGTCACAAAAAGATATTCATCTGTAAATTTGTACCTAGGGGATTTTCAGGGTCAGGAAATCTATTGGAGATATTTATTCTATTGAGGCTAAGAATTGGAACTGAAAAAAAGGTCTCAAAAATGCCTAGCTGAGACTGTGAGTTCTCTGTACAGATGAATGTGGTGAATTCTCTGTAGAGATAAATGTAGTGAGTTCTCCGTACAGATAAATGTAGTGAGTTCTCTGTACAGATCAATGGAGTGGGTTCTCTGTACAGATCAATGGAGTGGGTTCTCTGTACAGATAAATGTAGTGGGTTCTCTGTACAGATAAATGTAGTGGGTTCTCTGTACAGATAAATGTAGTGAGTTCTCTGTACAGATAAATGTAGTGGGTTCTCTGTACAGATAAATGTAGTCAGTTCTCTGTACAGATAAATCTCTGTGCATCAAACTACGAAAACTAAGCTATTGGGTTGTCCAGTTATGAATGCGCGCTTTTACTATTTTGTAAATTTCTCAAGATATCGAACAGTTGTATTTGAGTGTTATATATCATTCGAAAGCTGAAGATCTCCTCTACATTTTGGAATAAAAAAGCTTTTGAATTCATTCAACTTTTTGGGAATTCGACTGCACAAAGGGAGAAGACATTTTCGAAAAAACCCATTCCAGCTTAGCTATTCCTCAAGTTTTATGGTGTAAAATAACCGCCCAGAAAAGAAAAGAAAAGAAAAGATGCTCTGAAATTGTTATATTTAAAAAAAACTTGTATTGATATATCTATTGGCCAAACATCAGACGGTTGACTCAATTTGAGCGGAGCCAAAACTCGATCCAAAGGCACCCTTCCATTTTTTGGTCACCTCTTCTTCTGTGCAGTCAATTTGCCCAAAAGCTCGACAAATTCAAAAGCTTTTTATATCAAAATGTAGAGGAGATCTTCAGCTTTCGAATAATACTCATATATATCTTTTTCTTGATTTCGGTATCTTGAGAAATTTACAGAATAGTAAAAAGCTGGACTAGATTCATAATTGGACAACCCAATAGTAAACCTTGTGATTCTGACAATATTCAAGTGTTAAAAGTCGAGAGTCAAAAGCTAAATGTGAAATGCTAAACGTTAAATGTGAAATGCTAAACGTTAAATGCTAAATGTTAAAGTCAAAAGTCAAATCTACACAACCAATCTTTCAGCATTCATCCAAACGGCGAGCTCGTGCCGCAATCGATGAAACGATCGAGTCTGTGTGTTTCAAGTTTGAAAAACTTTGATAATTTTCAATATTTCCTTTCAGTGGTGGTCAGTGTACTTGCGGTGAAAGTACTTGTGCGGTTCGGTGCAATTCCTGTCAACGATCCACCCCGCAAAGCGTTCGGAAAGAGATCTGTCGAGATGGGGCTTTTGGTGAGTTTTGAGATGTGCTCAAACTTGTAAAGTACTGCTTGTACTGCTTGTACTGCTTGTAAAGTACTGTTCGGTTCAAAAATTGATCTAGACTTTCTAGATTTCTAGATTTCTAGATTTAAATAATTGATCGCTTTTTGAAGACTTCAACTTACCAAGGTGGCTATAGTTTACCTATAACTCTATAGTTTACCTATAACTTTATAGTTTACCTATAACTCTATAGTTTACCTATAACTTTATAGTTTACCCCACTTACAGAAGTGCTTGTCTAGTTTTGGACTTGTTTCAAACAGATTTCTAGGCAGCCAAATTTCGGTCAAAAGCTCAGGACTTGATTTTGTTGAGAAATAAGGTAAAGATCTAGCTTCTAGCTTTACCTAGACTGGCTTGGTAAAACTAGAAGACTGGTTTAGTAAAGCTAGAAGACTGGCTTGGTAAAGCTAGAAGACTGGCTTGGTAAAGCTAGAAGACTGGCTTGGTAAAGCCAGCCAGCTGTCTAAACTAAACAAATCTAAACAAGAACTGAAATAAAGTGCGCTAGATTAATGCACATGAGATCACATAACACGAAAAGGGCCGATAAAAAGCATATAATGGATGCAATAACGTAGCACGGACAACGTCAAGAATCCACTAGAGCTTCAAGATCAAGATCACGATCATCTATAGATAATTTAAAGGTTTCGAGACTATTGGACTCCCTGAAAAAGATTTGAAACATGAAACGGGTTAGCTTGTTACATAGAACACATAAACAAACACAATTATAGTATTTTTCTCTTAAGAAATAGTGTGAAATAGGAAACGGGTTATGTACGGTATTCTCTCTAATAGTACAATAATATGTACGGTATTCTCTCTAGTAGTACCTTGCTTTGCCTTGATTTCGCTTTGCCTAAATTCCTTAAAATCTCGAGAAGCGCTTATCAGAACCTATCGATGTCGAAAAATGTAGCTGAGGATGAGATCTAGTGGGGGATTAGAGTGTTGAGCTTCTGGGAAAACTTAGAACCCGTAAAATAGTGATCAACTCGACTCGGCAGGTATTAGACTACGATTAGAGAGAATACGGTACTAAAATGTCCGGTAATTGGCTTTAAGAAATCGGACTCTGACGGAATCAAGAAAATAATCTTTAGGTAGCTTTTTCTAATAGTAGCGCACCTTAAGCTTTACCTAAATTCCTCAAAACTCGAAAAGCGCTTATCAGAACCTATCGATGTCGGAAAATGTAGCTGAGGATGAGATCTAGTGGGGGATTTGAGTGTTGAGCTTCTGGGAAAACTTAGAAACCGTAAAATAGTCATCAACTCGACTCGGCGGGTATTAAACTACGATTAGAGAGAATACGGTAAATCAATTTCTGATATTAGCACGTCATAAGCTCATTGTACACAAGAAAAAGCTGTGTTTAAAGTATTTGAGAATAAAGTTTCCCATAAAACTTATAATTTCCATAACAAATTTTCCATAAACAAATAGCACAAATATAACGTTTCGATCACTAGAAAAACTAGCAAAATATAGTTATTAAAAGAATTGAATATGGTTGGCATTTGAAATTGGCATTTGGGAAAAAGTACAAATTGTCAATTTCCAATTTCTCTCACTTTTCTCAGCCACTTCACTGTTTTCATGGTGTTTTTGGAGATAAAATAGAGAAGAATGAAAGAAAAGAGTACAATTATTCGATTTACATTGAAAGAATTAAGACCAAGGGGTATAAGGATTTCAATAACATCAACTTTTTTCAGGTATCTTCGGTAAACTCATCGAAAAGCGTGAATCCACTATTTCTGTCGGTTCTTCAACTGCCATTTACAATATCTATAAGATGCATGTTTTGCAAACGTTGATGAGAGATGAGATAATCGAAATGAGAAGTGAGATTTTGAGGGGATAATGGAAATTCGGAAGTTTTAGATAATCAAATCGAGATCTGGTTGAGGAAATGCAATCAACGATGCAATAAAGATATTTCGATAAACAAAGAAGAATCGTATTTTGTGATCGGTGACAGAAATGATTTAATTGTGGATACGGATGCTAGGTGAGATGAGAAATACGTAGATTGCGAACGTCAAATCGAAGAAGGGGCGGAATTAACATGGCTGCTGTCTCTGTCATTGGCAATCTAACTTTGAGCTCAAATATCTCGGTGTTGCTATCTCCAATTTCAATATTCTTGGTATCATTGGATTCGCCAAGTCTTTCTCTATCGATTGGTATAAAAACTATTCAAATTGGATCATCGAACACCGAGATATTTGAGCTTAAAGTTAGATTGCCAATGGCAAAGGGGGCGGGGCGCGTATAAAAGACTGAGCAGCAAATTTGAGTTCAATTGAACAGCCTAAAGCCCAGAAATTCGGGCTCAAAGGTGGATTGCTAATGGCAAAGGGGTCTTTCTCTGTCGATTGCTAATGGACGAACCTTTTATACGCGCCGCGCCCCTTTGCCATTGGCAATCCAACTTTAAGCTCAAATATCTCGGTGTTCGATGATCCAATTTGAATAGTTTTTATACCAATCGATAGAGAAAGACTTGGCGAATCCAATGATACCAAGAACATTGAAATTGGAGATTGCAACACCGAGATATTTGAACTCAAAGTTGGATTGCCAATGGCAAATGGACCAAGAAAGGCACCCCGCCCCTTTAAGCTCAGATTTCTTGGTGTTGGATGATCCAATTTGGATAGTTTTTATACCAATCGATAGAGAAAGACTTGGCGAATCCAATGATACCAAGAATATTGAAATTGGAGATAGCAACACCGAGATATTTGAGCTCAAAGTTAGATTGCCAATGACAAAAGGAGCGGAGCTTATGGGCTTATATACGATGCGATTTATGAATATGAAAATCTTTTTAAATATCAGAATACTAGCCATTCTCATTTATTTCCAATTCCAGAACAAACTACGTGCTCCGATTGACGGATCGTTTCGAAAAATCGGTTTCCGAGTGTGGTCTCTATCAAAATATTTTCTGGAGTGGACCATTCAATTACACGAGTTGTGACGATTCGAAAAGACGCTAAAATAGAAAATGTATTAACGAATCTAAAGATATTCAGCCAAGTACTTCACCTTTTCTATTCAAAATCATTGAATTGAATTGAATTATTGAATAGCAATCGAGTTTTTGTTTATTATTTGTGCTTTTCTGTGCTTTTCTGTGCGCATTTTCTGTAGATACGTGTACTCTTTTTGAAACAAAAACGTTTAAAATGCTAAATCTTATTGAAAAGAAAAATTTGATTGTCTGTTAACATTTATAAATCCCATTTTTTATCAATTGAATAAACGATTTCCATGGCGAACATTTATAAGTTTTCACGGGATAGATTTGTGTATGGTTTTCGTGATTTTTCTTCAACGAAATCGTGAATTTCTTCTTCTGCTACACTATCGTTTCAATGTTTCACGCTTTTTTTTTCTATTGACTGCCACGAAGCGTCGTGGTGGGACGCTCTTGATCCAGCTTCGAACGTCGGTGCAAAGGGTGCGCTAAAAAAAATTGTCACAAGATAAAAGTTCTCATTTTAAAGCAAACAAAAGCAAAAAAGATAAATTTGAACTGAATAATAATTATAAATGATTCAAATTCGAATCAAATCAAATTCAAATCGACCAATTAGCATTTGAGGAGGCTTGCAGGCATTTCGAGAATGCGTCAACGGTTGCAACCAAGGCTGCACCGCTCTTTTCACGCTTTCAACAGTGATTTCATTAAGCTTTCCATGTTTTTGTGGGGTTTTGAATGATCATTTTACTTTTTAAGAAGGCTTTCAACGGTAAATATCTTTTCGTTACATAGGCTTTCAAGTCCTAAGTTTCTTAGAAGTACCCTGACTTCAGAAGTCCTTCAGAAGTCCTTGAGAAGTCCTTGAGAAGTCCTTGAGAAGTCCTTCACAATGGTGGTCGATTCCATTGAAGCGTATCAATAACTGTTATCAATAGCCTTGTTTTTCTTGTAAGCAGTAAGTTTGAGCTTATTTTTGAGGATCCGATGCAATGAAGTGCTTGAAATCGTCATCTTCTTTACCATTTGCCGATTGGTTTGGCTTCTTTCAAATTCGGTCCCTTATTTGCTTGATGTTTGTCTTTGTGACAAGAGTTGAGCGAAGAGGATGAAGTCAAAAGAAAAACTGATTATAAACTGATTATAAACCGATGTATAAACCAGTGTATAAACGAGTTTCTTTGTCCTTTTGACAACTATGAAATTTTGAATGCCTGGAAGACTCTTTTGATCTACATTCACTCATTTTTTCGCAACGGAAAAGCTTAAAAAGCAACTGAAAAGCTTGAAAATCAACTGAAAAGCTTAAAAAGCAAAACCACTCTTTAAAAAACGTCAAAATTCACAAAAGATTGTGAGATTGTCGATCAACTGATCCACTTGTATAAACGCTTTTTCTCTATTTTTGTGGGGAGTGGGACAAATGCGACCTGCGCACCCGGACATTTGCGCACCTTTTTTTTTTGCTGGAAAAGGCCTTAGGAAAAGTCGTAGAGCTTCAAAAACGTTTTCATAGAAGGGAATCGTATGCGTAGATTCCGAATTTCGACAAATCAGACCTCGCTGACACGTCAAATTTCGGCTAAAAGGCAAAAACTGCGGAAAAGCGTTAAGTTGCGTAGCGCAAATTTTCCTTTTAGCGCAAATTTAACGTGTCAGCGAGGTCTGATTTGGCGAAATTCGGAAACTACGATTCCCTTCTATAAAAACGTTTTTGATTTGAGCTTTTCTTTCATTCTTTTCTTTTTTTTTGATCTAATACGGTTCTTTTTTTTTTGATCTAATAGGTTGATGCATAAGTCTTTTCGTTTTTTTTCGTACTTCTGTTAAAAAGTAACAAATTCACCAATTAATCTATAGTTTGCTCTATAAAAAAAGTGTTTTTTTGTTCAATTTGCATCTTTTTAAATGAATTTCGGTTCACTTTCAAGCAAATTCGAGAGTGAAAAACGCCTTTTGTCGTAAAAATCTATAAAAAACTCTACGGAAAAATTGGCTGAATGAATTTCTCTGAAATTTTGGCGAAATATCAAACTTTTTTTTCTCTATCTTTTCTCTATTGACACGAAGATAGGTTTTCTTTAGCTAAGGTGTCTAAACCGCATCTTTAGCTAAGGTGTCTAAACCGCATCATCGAGTTAGCCCTTTTTGACTACCCGACTTCATACTCTCAAGAAAATCCAGGCATTAAATATTTTTAAACCCGTTTTAATGTTATTTTGCAGAAAAATAATTGGTTTTTCTAATGAAATCAACCGTAGTTTAATTGGTGCATTTGTTGGCTTGAAACGGCAGACGAAAAGGAACGAAAAGACTTATGCATCAACCTAATAATACGGTTCCAATACGGGTAATTCGGTTGTTTTTCGAGGTAATTTCAGGGCGTAGAATCGAAATTTTGACATATCAGAGCTTGTGGAAACAAACGGACGGAGTTATACAAAGAGAAAGATCGACAATTTTCTGTAATTTGATCTAGCCGTTTTGTCTTTCAAAGGCAAAACGTTTTGTCGTTTTGTCTGGTTCCACACGCTCTGTTATGTCAAAATTTGAATTAGACACCCTAAAATTACCTAGAAAAACAACTTTTGGAATAGAAATTGGTTAATATTAGCTTTTTAGAGCTTTTTAGCTTTTTAGAGCTTTTTAAAACGCGAAAAAAGGTGCGCTAATGGGCAAGGTGCGGAAAAAAAGGTGCGCAAATGTCCAGGTGCGCAAAAAAAGGTCGTATTTGTCCCACCCCCCTATCTTTGTGTTTATTCTTTTTTCGGGGTAGGCTACTTTCCGCCATTTTATTTGCGCAACAGGGTCATTTGCGCAAGTACGTTTGCGCAACTTTTTATTTGCGCAACAGGGTCATTTGCGCAACTTTTTTTGCGCAACAGGGTCATTTGCGCAACTTTTTTGACGTTTTTAAGGGACGTTTTTTTTAAGGGAGTTTTTGACGTTTTTTTTTTGTTGTTTAAAATTCTAGTACGGTTTTGTTTATTCTTAAAAACCATTGTTAACTAATTTTCCGCATTTTCCCAAGAATCCGCATCCATCGTATACTGCGGTCAGACTTTACGAAGAAATGACGCAAATAATCAACCGTTTCAAGCTTTCATCGGCTATCAATCTCACTGTTGGACAAAACTACACACGGAAGAAAACTGTATTGGCTCGACAAAAGCAACGTTTTACTGCTATTTCTAATGGTCGCTTGCCCGGTTGCGATTTTGTGAAACATCTTTCTCAGCTTTTGACTTATATTAAAAAAATTTGATTTTTATTGTTGTCCTAAATTTCATTGCTATTGTTGTCCTAACTTTCATTGTTATCGGTTGCACTTTTTTGTTAAAGCGATAAAATATTTTACTAATGGTTATTAGCTCTTAGAAAGGACTAATTTAGATAAATATTGGAAGATTATGCAAAAAATTGGAAGATTTCATAAAAATAGAAGAAAATAAAAAACAATAAAAAAAAGCTCAAAAATGAAAATAATGATTAAAAATTCGAGTGCTTAATACAGTGTTAAAGTTGCGCAAATGACCCAGTTGCGCAAATAAAGTTGCGCAAATGACCCTTTTTGTGCAAAAAAAAGTTGCGCAAATGACCCTTGTTGCGCAAACGTACTTGCGCAAATGACCCTGTTGCGCAAATAAAATGGCGGAAAGTAGCCTACCCCCTTTTTTCCTCACAAAACTCTGGCCAACATTTCACTCCAAATTCCGTCCATTCGTCGTCGAAAAGGGCAAGGCATTTGAATGTGCGTAAAAATTACGACCTCCTTATTTCTATTCTATTTTTCTTTTGTTTTTTATAATTTCTTTACAATTTTAAAGAAATTAACAATGAAATCTTTAGGAAATTATTTTTTTAAAGTAAAAATTGACAATTTTTTTGTATAACATTGCCAATAGCATTGAAAAAATTGAAGAAATTTTCATTTAACATGTTTTTACATTCCTTTTTTTCTGATTTATGTTTAAATCCTGTTCTTTTAGTGTTTTCTGTTTTCTTTTTCTGTAAAAGCTTCCTTTCTGGCCCACGAAAATCCTTTAAAAATCCCTGTTTTTCCTCTAAAACCTCGGTTTAGTTACGAATTAGTCAAAGAAACAGCTTGGCTTGTGCTTTTCTCTAAACGCACACTTTCTAGAGCACTGAATTCTTTGTCTACAGATAAAATAGAGACTTCAGTACCCTAGAAGGGGTGTGTTTAAGCACAAAGTACGCTAAGAGTCACCAAAGTTGCGTGATTGAGCCGAGTTTTCCGGAAAGGCTGCTTTTACAGATTTAATTCTTTCAAATAAAAGTGTGACATCCAGAACCACGAAAAATTTGTGAATTTTCCAGAAATGGACAACGACGACACTTTGGTCGACACCGAAAGCATTGATTTCTACGAAGAAGAGGTCGAGGAAGAGGCTGACTTTGAGGATTTCGATCAACCCCAAATGGGCACCCGAGCCGACAAATCTTTGGCATTATTGACCCGGAAATTTGTGAATATTTTACAAAAATCCCCTGAAGGATTGGTCGATTTGAATACTGCGGCAGAATGTTTGAATGTTACGCAAAAAAGACGGATTTACGATATCACAAATGTGTTTGAAGGAGTGGGATTGATCGAGAAAAGGACGAAAAACGTTGTGCAATGGAAAGGAGGCGATTTGTCGAGAGATCGATCTAGAGAACTCAACACTGTCGAGCAACAATATTTGGGTGGGTTTTTGAAACGTTTTTAAAAATAGTACTTTGATTTTACTTGACAATTAACATTGTGTTTGAGTTTAAGAATCGATTAAGCATCTAGATTCCAGGCTTTAGTGTAGTTCTCTTCTTGAGCGAAAGTTCTGTTCTTTTTAGAATTCTCTATGCACTTTTTGAATACTTCTAGTCGTCTGAGTTCTAAGTTTAAGAGATTTAAGAGTGTACATGAGCGCTTTAATTTTACTTGACAATTAACATTGTGTTTGAGTTTAAGAATCGATTTAGCATCTAGATTCCAGGCTTTAGTGTAGTTCTGTTCTTTTTAGAATTCTCTATGCATTTTTTGAATACTTCTAATCGTCTGAGTTCTAAGTTTAAGAGATTTTCTTATACTGGTAATACTGGTGCCGCCAAAGAGCTCACCTAAATTGTGATAACTTAAAATCTAAAGGAATTATTTCAAAATTGTAATTAGATTTAAATTCTGTGAAAAATTAGCTGTCTTTTGGCTGTTTATGAAATAATAACAATCAGAAAGAATTCAATTAAAGAGAATTGAAGAAGGACAGAACTTACGCAGCTTGTATTAGGGTGATGGGAATGCAACTAGCGCTCACATATCTTTTCAAAAATCAAAAGATTGAAAGCTTTAGCCAATAAGTGTTGTATACTATCAAAAAGCCGTGATTGTATACTATCCTCTAAAAAATAGTGTGAAAAGATTTTGAATTAGATTGATTATTGGGGACTTGAGTGACTTAAGTTGGAAGGTCAAAAAAATGACGATTTTCTAGAAAAAGTGTTTCTGGTAATAGCTATGCCGTTAGAGAATACCATCAATTAAAGTTATTTTAAAATAAAATCAAAGAAAAGAAGTTCTTTTGTATATCTTCTAGAGTTAAATCTTTGTTTTTTTTTTGGAAAAGTCCTATTTTAAATCAAAAATCGCTACTTTAAACTTTGAACTCTGATCTTCAGAAGTGATCTCTAGAACTTCAGAACTATTACGTCAAAAAAGTGACGATTTTCTAGAAAAAGTGTTCCCGGTAATAGCCATGCCCGGGTTTTTCGTTAGAGAATACCGCTAATTAAAGTTATTTGAAAATAACATAAAGAACTTCTTTTATTTCTTTGTCTTCTAGAGCTAAAACTTTGTTTTTCCAAAAAGCCACTTTCAACTTTGGATTCTCATATCACGATAGAAGCTAAGCTAATCGTTTAAGTTTTGGTATAAATATTAAGTAATGCAATATTAAGTAATGCATACCCTTAAAGGGAGGTATAAATCGCAAACGGATAACTATACAAAAAATTTTTTAAGGTAGCAACCTGTTTTTATATTTTAATATTGCTTTTTATTATAAAAAAAATAAAAAACATTCGGCGAGAGTGATTTGATGGGTTTAGAAATTTTTGAAGACGTTGCAAGGCTTGGAGAAATGCAAGACTCATCAGGCATTAGGCACAAATTTAACATAAAATTTGAAGCGAAAAGATCCGTGAAAGCGATAGTTGCCCACAGGCACAGGTATCTAGGTTTTGACTCGACCTGCGGTTACTTTTTAACACCAAATTCTCCAATAATCAATCTAATTCAAAATCTTTTTAGACTATTTTGTAGAGGAGAATCAGAACTTTCAAACAGTATACACAATTTATTGGCTGAGGCTTGAAATCTTTTTATTTTTGGGAAAGATTTGTGAGTGCTGGTTTCCCATCACCTTATATTAGGTTGGAAAGAAAGTTCTCGGAAAAGGTTTGACTGAAATTTCTTAAAAACGAATCCACTAATTCAAGAACATTTTGCTCTATTATTTACAAGTCGACTCCAAGAAATTACTCGTAAAAAATGAGTGCAGCTTTCCTGTAAAATTTTAGAGGTTTTTGAAAAATATTATTTTTCAGCTTAAATTCAGTTCACTTTTTGCATCAGAAAAACGATTTCTTGTAAGGTAAAGCTAGCAAAAAATGAGCAATACGCTTTATAATCTCTATTTTTGGCTAAGAAATTTTTTTTACGGAAAGCTGTATTTAAAAAATCATTTTTTTGGTGTCATCTTCTTGGCACTGAGTGGCATAAGATAGATGATTCTAAAAAGTTAAAACATTAGATTAAATTTGCCTTTATCACATCTTTTCCCGATTTTAAGTACTTGATTTTAGGTTTATGAATGAGACCAATTGCCTATCCATTAACCTATTAAAAACTTGTCTAAAGGTTGGGCACTCAAAAAGTGATCAAGTCACTTTCAGCTGAAGAAATATCTTATGTTTTTACCTGAAGCCGACTCTGGTTTTTTTGTCAAAAGCTTTTTGAAATATAGTCAAGTTGATCAAAAAAATCTGGGAAGAATTGATGGATTGGTTTTTTGAGAAATTAACGTTCAAACTTTCCAACCTAATATATTGATTACAGGCCGAAGTGAAGCTCTAGTAAATAGCATCAAATCGTAATCTTAACTTTTTGAAATCTGAGAAGAATTGATGGATTGGTTTTTTTGAGAAATTAACGTTCAAACTTTTTCTACAAACTTTCTTTTCAACCTTATAGATTTAAATTTTTTAAATTTGAGAAATCTAATAAACTCTTAGGATAAGTTAGTGGAAAAATGATTGTTAAATTTTAGAAGTTGGATAGCTTAGCCTGGTTTAGACTGGCTTTATTGTTTGGATATTATAGGAGTATTATTGACCCTGATCTAGTGCTTTAACTAGCCTAAAGGACTAGTTGAGTTGCCCTTGAATCAAATCATTTTCTACCATAATCTTGTCTATTTTTTATCCAATCTATTCACTTTTTATCTGATTTTGTGAGGCTTATATCGAGAAATATAAAAATCGACAAGATTACGATAGAAAGGGACGTTTTAAAAACGGAAAGAAACTAGAATAAGTGGAATCCTTTTCTATTTTAATTAAACAAAATTCATTCAATTTTCAGCCCAACTCAAGAGCGATTGTGCTGACTTGGACAAGAAAGAGTCCCAAATTGATGAACACATTCGCTGGCTGAAGCAAAGTATTAAAAACATCACGGAAGATCCACAAAATATGAGCCATTCCTATCTCACTCAAAACGATTTACGCTCCGTTTTCCCACAAAAGACACTCTTCACTTTGCACGCGGCCCCCGGGACATCCGTTGAAGTGATGCACCCGAAATCCGGGCTTGATCCACGATATTCTTTGAGGATGAAAAGTTCCGTTGGACCGGGCACAGTTTGTTTAATTACTGCTGAAGAACCGAGAAATTTTGCTCGAAACGAGCCACAAAATTTCGATGATCCTGGGCAAATTCTAGAAGGAGAAGAAGAAGAAAATGATGGAGAACAGAAAAAAAGTCAATTCGAGAATGTGATTCAACGATTGAGTCCACCACCTTCCGAAAAAGATTATCATTTAAATGTGAACTTAAACGAGAGTTTATTTGACTTGTACAATGACCAGGATAATGATTTTTGATCTCATTTTTAGCGTTTATCTGATTGATATTATTTTAAGTTTTAATCTGATTGATTTTAAAGTCGTTTGATACGTTTAAATCCATTAGATAAGATGTTTTATCAACTCTGCATTCACTTATCAAACTTTTTTTACTTGCTAAATTTGTAATATTGGTGCTTTCTTGCTTTGTGATACAATTTTGTACATTTTGAGTGTGGGAAATGAACAAAAATTAACATTTTGAACAAAAAAAGCAAAGTTTTCACGAAAATGCAGAACAAGAAAGCTTTTTAGTGTTTTGATTGATGTTTAAAAAGTAAAGAAATGAATGACAATTGAAACCAAAGGGAATTGAACCCTCGATCTTCCGCTTATCAAGCAGAAGACGATCGGCAAAGCTACCACTGAGCTATCTGACATTCTTTGTCTAAGAAATAGGAAAGACAAGGAAGAGAGAAAGAAAGGAAGAAAGAAAGAAAGGAAGAAAGAAAGAAAGAAAGAAAGAGAAGGAAATACTTAAGCCAATAGACCAGCCCAGTAATTTTTTAAGGCAAGGTCAAGCCTGGCTTCTGACCTGCACCAGATCCAAATGCTTAAGTCGAAAAATTTGTGCTCAACTTATTCGAAATGCTTTATTAATGCTTTATTCAATCAATTTTCTCATTTTGCAGTCAGAAATTGCTTCCCTTGTGCCACTTCTTCATTTCTCTTTTCACCATCGGTTCGATTTGCTCCAACATTCTCATTTCGAGCTCAAAAACCTGTCCCACATTTTTTTCGCATTACAAGTCAGTCAAAAAATATTCGTTTCGCTTTAATAGATATTCAGGATCTTTAGTCTCTTTCTTTAGAAGAACTTTAGTCATTTTCTATGACAGGAAACACAGAAAACTACTAGGTTGGCAACTTCATAATGACGCGTTTATGTAACAAATCATTTATTTCAAAAAACACAAAAGAAGAGCTTTCATTTCGAAAGGTATTCTCCATTAGTATCTATGACTTCTTCCCATCTTCTATTCTGCTCAAAACCCGGATCCCATCCACGAAAAACTTGGGAGTTTTTGAGGCGAAGTAGTCATTCACTACTTTTATGACCTGAGCATGATCATCGAACTTTTCTCCCTCCAAAGAAATTGGTTTTGCTTCCGTTGTGCGACTTCTTCTTGTGGCCATCGGCTCGATTTGCTCTAACATCCGCATTTCGAATGCGGATGTTGGAGCTAAAAAACCTGTCTCACATTTTTTTCTCATTACAAGTCAGTCAAAAAAACATTCGTCTCGCTTTAATTCATTAATTCTTTAATTCAGGCTCTTCTCTGAAAATTTGATTTTCTGAATAACTTTACTCATTTTCTGTGACAGGAAACTAATAAATAAATATAAAAAAAGAATCATGAGATACCTATAGATTCAATTGTATGAGTTGAATCTTATTCTCTCTTCTCTTCAATCCTGTGCAATTCCCAGCACTTTTTCCAATATAAAAATGAATCACCTTTCCTTATCACAGAGCAAAACTTTTATTTTGTTGCAAGAAAAATCTTGTTTGGCTTTGATCGGAGAGCCAAATTGATCAAATTTTCTTACTTTTCTGCTTTTTAAATCGACAACTATGGCCACTGAGGTTTGTTTTTATTATAATATAATATTAAATACGTCAAGATTATTGTCTTGTTGTCTGAATACTCAAGGAAGCTGTAAATAAACAAAAAGAACTTTTCATTTGTCTTGTATACTTTAATTCTTTACCGTTTTTAAAGCTTATCGGACATTTTATATTCGCCTCGCCCCTTTTTCCATTAGCAAACTAACTTTGACCTCAAATATCTTGGTGTTGGACTGTCGAATTTCAATGTTCTTGGTATCATTAGATGCGTAAAGTCTTACTCTGTTGATTGGTATAAAAACTATTTCAATTGCACAGCTCAACACGAAAAAATTTAAGCTTAAAGTTGGTTGCCAATCGCAGGGGGGGGGGGCGTATTAAATGTCCTACAATCGTTTTTAAACCAAAACTCCTGATCAAAAATTGATTCCAAATCATAGCTCGATCGCGTGATGCAAGATTTGGCTCTGGAAAGGGAGAAATGCCAACGACTTTTGATGGAAAACATCCAATTGAAGCAACAATTGGACGTGTTGAAAAAGGATAAAACAGAGGTGAGAATGATGAGCAAGTTTAAAAATATCAAAATAACCTTCATCCAAAGAGTCTAAACTTCAATTTTAACCATATGAGATGAATTTTTGTTAAGAAAAGTAAAAAAAAATACTTAAATTTTGAAATGAACAATAAGATTTGAATCGATCTGGGTAAATTTTAATTAATAGATTAACTGATTCAAATAATAGATCCAAAAAACAACTCTAGACTTTAACGACTTCAGAAAATCGAAAACCTATGCTGGGAAAATATGCGTCTCAAGTTTAGGTCGTTGAACCGGAGACCGACATTCAGATCCAACTTATCGAAAAAGATTCGTTGATTCATCGACTTCGAGAAGGGATACAGTAAGTAAATATAATATTAAATATCAAATATCAAATATCAAATCACTTTTTTAAACCTTAGAAATCTTGGCTTTACTCAAGGAAGTAAAGAATTAAATTCGAATTCCCCGGAAGTTGTGATCCCAAGAAGAATTGAGGTCGAGGATAACTGTGACAATGGAATGCGGAATCTAGAGATGCCTGCGGTGAGTTTGAAGGAATTTCGAGCTTCTTTTGAGGCCGCCACATGCACCGTAACAATTGTTTCAATGGTCTAGTGGATAGTCTGCTAGACTACCAAACCTTTTTCCATTTTATGTCATCAATTTCGAGTGAAACTTTTTGCTTTTTAAAAACTTCTTTTTTTTGCCGACAAATGGCGATGAGGAGAAGCAGAAAACAATCGATGAAAAGGCGTTGTTAACTGGTTTTGTCTCAGAAAATAGCCTATCTAATGCAGTTTTTCACGCTGATTCCGAATCTGTAATCAGTTTTTGCCAAACGCTTCTCTATCGCGAGATTTAGAGCATACAAGGTTTTGGGGTCCCTTGTTTTTAGTTGGCTTTGATTTCCTCGGCTGACTTAACAATCAAGCTCTATTTACTATCATTTGAAAGCCTGAAGTCTCCTTTATTCAATGATATCAATAATTAAGCATAATATTGTCTCTAGACAAAGTTATAGCCGTTTAAAGTGTGATCAGGTGTTCAAAATGTTCAAACTAAGGAATGCTGTTAACTTATCATAGCTTTTGTCTCAGAAAATAGCCTATCTAATGCAGTTTTTCACGCTGATTCCGAATCTGTAATCAGTTTTTGCCAAACGCTTCTCTATCGCGAGATTGAGAGCATACAAGTTTTTGGGGTTTCTTTAAGAGGGCGATGCACTGTTTTCAGTCAACGGCCTTGGTGGTGTAGTGGTTAGTGCACGCGTCTGATGGGCGTATGACCTTTTGGACCCCGAGGTTTCGAGTCCTCTGTCTATAAGGCAATCTAGTTAAATAAAAGGCTCTTAACCAGTCGACCATGAGGACAATTCATCAAAACGCCTTTTTCAGACCGGTGATTACCACTATCTCTCCTGGCCAATTCAACAGCCAGCTGTGAATGTGCCATTCTTCGATATACACGCGTATAAACACGTCAATCTCGACGTACCACCATCCAAAAATCCACAAGGACAAGATTTACCTCTCAACGATGTCTCTACACTCAGGTATTTGAGATTTAAACTTCAAAGCTGACTTTAAAAGAACTAGAACTAGGTCAAAAAGGATTCAGAATCTAGTCATAGGTTTTTTTTGCCTTTTTCGAGTAAGTCGTTTTCTTTTTTGCTCAAAATAATTATACAATCGTGGAGTTAACGATTCGGGACGAAAAACGTCTAATAAAAGCTTTGAAAGATACAGGTGAAAGCTGAAAAGCTGATAAACATTTAATAGGGTTTTTTTGCTTGCAAGTTTAGGTTTGAAGGTTTAAAAATCAATTAGTATAGATTAAGTCTTTGAAACAAACCTAGACAAACTATAGATAAATAGACAGCTGAGAGACAGCTGAGAGACAGCTGAGAGACAGCTGAGAGACAGCTGAGAGACAGCTGAGAGACAGCTGAGAGACAGCTGAGAGACAGCTGAGAGACAGCTGAGAGACAGCTGAGAGACAGCTGAGAGACAGCTGAGAGACAGCTGAGAGACAGCTGAGAGACAGCTGAGAGACAGCTGAGAGACAGCTGAGAGACAGCTGAGAGACAGCTGAGAGACAGCTGAGAGACAGCTGAGAGACAGCTGAGAGACAGCTGAGAGACAGCTGAGAGACAGCTGAGAGACAGCTGAGAGACAGCTGAGAGACAGCTGAGAGACAGCTGAGAGACAGCTGAGAGACAGCTGAGAGACAGCTGAGAGACAGCTGAGAGACAGCTGACAGCTGACAGCTGACAGCTGACAGACAGCTGACGGCTGACAGCTGACAGCTGACAGCTGACGGCTGACAGCTGACGGCTGACAGCTGACGGCTGACAGCTGACGGCTGACAGACAGCTGAGTGACAGCTAAGAGACATCAGAGAGAGCTGACAAACAGCTGACAGCTGACAGACAGTTGACAGACAGCTGACAGACAGCAGAGAGACATCTGACAAATAGCTGAGAGACAACAGACTAACAGCTGACAAATAACAAAGTACAACTAATCTAGATCTTTGTAAAGCCAAGAAATGATGACAAAGTCTAGAAAAGTCAACAGTTTAAAGTGCTTTTATTGAAATTGATTTGAACAAATTTCCATTAACTATAGCTTTTCCTCTTTTCCTTTTAAAACTACAATCTTTTATTGTAAAATCTGTTTCCAGATTCTTCTTCAACTTGGGCGTACAACAATCTCGCGTCGTTTTGTTGAAGCAACATTTGAATCAACATCTTTCATCAACATCGCAAGGATCGAATTCTGGTTGGTTTTTAGCTGTTTTTAGCTGTTTTTCTGCTATTTTTAGTCTTTACGTGATCAGTTAAAGTAGATTTCCAAGAAGTTTTACAACAATTTTCCAGCTACTTCAGCTCCTCCAGCTCCAATGGTTGGTCCAGGTGGTAGCTCTCTCCCCAATCAACCAACCGCTGTTCAACCACCGTCACAGTCTCAGCCTCCGCAACTCATCAATCATATTGGGATTCAGGTTTGATTTGAAATAAAATAAAAATTGAATCTTGATCTGTAGCTTGATCTAGAGCTGTAGCTTGAGCTGTAGCTTGATCTAGAGCTTGATCTTGAGCTGTAGCTTGATCTATAGCTTGATCTTGATCTGTAGCTTGATCTATAGCTTGATCTTGAGCTGTAGCTTGATCTATAGCTTGATCTTGAGCTGTAGCTTGATCTATAGCTTGATCTTGATCTGTAGCTTGATCTATAGCTTGATCTTGAGCTGTAGCTTGATCTATAGCTTGATCTTGAGCTGTAGCTTGATCTATAGCTTGATCTTGAGCTGTAGCTTGATCTATAGCTTGATCTTGAGCTGTAGCTTGATCTATAGCTTGATCTTGATCTGTAGCTTGATCTAGAGCTGTAGCTTGAGCTGTAGCTTGATCTATAGCTTGATCTTGATCTGTAGCTTGATCTATAGCTTGATCTTGAGCTGTAGCTTGATCTATAGCTTGATCTTGATCTGTAGCTTGATCTATAGCTTGATCTTGAGCTGTAGCTTGATCTATAGCTGGATCTTGATCTGTAGCTTGATCTATATCTTCTTTTAAAACCATTCATTTCCAGCTACCCCAAGTCTCGGCTGCTCAAATCCCCGTCTCTGTTGGAGATCAACTCGAATCACTTGCCCAGCTTTCACCTCAACATCATATCCTACGGTAAGCAGTAGATTGAACTCTATAATCCAACATCTGCAGCCAACAACAAAACATCTTTGCTCAAGCTCAAGCTCAAGCCGCTCATCAATTGCAGTTGAACGCCGCTAGACAACAGCCCGTTCCACAAATTGACCCTGTCACCTCACATTCTTTAGTTCAACAGGTTTGAAAGAATTAAGTGAAACTTTGATTTTAGTATTTTATTGATTTAGTATTTGTTTATTAGCTTATTGCTTGATCATTTTATATAATATTTAACTGATTTCTGTTTAAATTTAGCTAAAAAAGAGCAACAGTTCTTTAAACCTTATTAATTATAACAAAAGAATCAAAAAGTTATTGTATTTTTATTGTATTTGTATTGGTTTCTTTTTTTAGTTAGAACAATTGCGAGTTCAATCGTCTAATGTTCCTAAACCGGGTGGTCTAGAAGCTCTTTTACTTCAACAAGCTCTAGCTGCTGCTCAAAACAGTAAGTCTAAAGAAAAGTTTGACTTTATACTTGTTATTGTAAGTAGAAAATCAATTTTGATCTAATTTAAAGCTATTTTAAAACGTTAGACTTTGATCTGAAATAGATTTGATCAGAATCAAGATCAGGCTAGATCTGATCTTGATTCTGATCAGATCTAGCCATGTCTTCCTTGAGCACAGAATCAATCAGGTTTGATATCATCTTTGATTCGACTGTAATATCAGAGCAAGCTTTCAAGTTTGATTTTGTGAACTAATCGAATTTGGCAATGATTTAGTGATAAATGAAGCTTAACTATTGGTGAATTGAAAACTGCCGGACTTTGAGCTAAAATTTATTCAACATAAACCCATCAACTCATTCCAAATAATTTCCATTATTATTGACGACTTCTGCCCATTTTACAGGCAATTTGCGGATTCCTCTTTCGTAGTAGAATTTTGGTTTTGAATCGAAAAACTTTCAAAGCCAATTTTTGACTACTCCTTCCGAATCGAAGTGTAGCCTCTAGCCTGTAGCCTCTAGCCTGTAGCCTCTAGCCTGTAGCCTCTAGCCTGTAGCCTCTAGCCTGTAGCCTCTAGCCTGTAGCCTCTAGCCTGTAGCCTCTAGCCTGTAGCCTCTAGCCTGTAGCCTCTAGCCTGTAGCCTGTAGGTTTTTCAAATGTCTCAAGAATTTATCCAGCCCATTATGTCCAAAGTTAAAAATTTACTTAAAAACTGCTGCATAATATAAAAAAGCATTCAAATTACGAAAAATAATCCTTTGACAAGATTTAAAAGCGAGCAGTCTCTCCGTAGTAGTAGTAGATCTCTTAAATCAAGCAGTAGATCTCTTAAATCAATGTTACAACCTTGTAACCATACTTATGCCCTGTAGACCCTGTAGATCTGTAAATTTTTGTTCACTTTCAGATCGAATCAACGCGAGCATTGATCGAAATCAATCAAACGAGATCGATTCGTGTTCTTCGAGCCCGACCGAGCGCCTTCGAAACGCCACCGAAGAGGAATAAAATGTTAAAATTTCCCTAAAAATCTAGTTTTCCTATATCCGTGTACGGTTTTTACGAAAATATATCTAAAATTTGTTCGAATTTTTACTTTTCCTTATTTTTTCCCATGCAAGATTCAGCATTTCCATTGCTTATTCACATTTTTTCGAAGTTTGACGAAATTTGCTGAAAACGTGAAAACTCTTGGCCACGCCGAGCACTGAATTTCTTATTTTTAGAGAATTTCAATGCACCACACGAGATTTGGGTGTGCTTTCGTGGAAATTTGTGGGTGTACAAAGGAAAGTTTCGCCGCCCAGAGAGCATTGGATCTTTTCTCAAATTGTGCCAATAGTACTTGTTGCTGTCTGGGCCATCCAATCTTCAGTTTTGGTGCTTTCTTCATGACTGCTCTTTTGATGTAACGGATGTAACACTTGATCACTCAAGAAAGAGTGCTTTTATGGACGGGAACTCTAATTTGTACCTTGACGCCCTGTAGCAACATCACCCAATTCGACAACAGACGTCCCATATGCCGTTCAGCGCGGATCGTGAGCTTTCAATGACGTGCCGGAGGCTTTTTCTTACCATACTTTGAACGATCCTTCAAGAAATTTGAGACAACTTGGTGTAAGAGCTTCATTTTTTTGCGATCTTCCGATTCGACAACTTTCTTCGTTTCAAAATCAAAATTTTCATTTTTTCCACGCCCCATCTTCCTAAAAAATAAAAATTAGCAAAAAGTAAGCAAAAAAACATGGTTATTACAAGTAGAATATCAAAAAGAAACGTAGTGGTCCTATCATTTTGCAACAGGTGTAAAATACAATGCTTAAAAAATGCTTTAAAGATTTTGCCTTTTAAAGTAAATGATTGGACAAACGGTATTTTTGCGTATTTTTGTATACAAAATTCTAATTTAAGCATTGTTTGCCATTTTTAGGTATTTAAAATCAAAAATTGGAAAAATCGAGGGTGGTCCTATCACTTTACTCATTTTCTGTGACAGGAAACTAATAAATGAATATAAAAAAGAATCATGAGATACCTATAGACTCAATTGTATGAGTTGAATCTTATTCTCCCTTCTTCCCAAGTTATCCTGTGCAATTCCCAGCACTTTTTCTAATGAAAAAATGAATCACCTTTCCTTATCACAAAGCAAAACTTTTATTTTGTTGCAAGAAAAATCATGATTGGCCTTGATCGGAGAGCCAAATTGATTAAATTTTCTTACTTCTCTGCTTTTCAAAACAACAACTATGGCCACTGAGGTTTGTTTTTGTTATAATATAATCTTAACTACAGCAAGATTATTGTCTTGTTGGCTGAATATTCAAGCAAGCTGTAAATAAACGAAAAGAACTTTTGATTTGTCTGGTATTCTTTAATTCTTTACCGTTTTTAAAGGTTATCGGACATTTTATATTAGCCTCGGCTTTTTTTCATTAGCAATCCAACTTTGAGCTCAAATATCTTGGTGTTGGGGTCTCCAATTTAAATGTTCTTGGCATCATTAGATGCGTAAAGTCTTTCTCTGTCGATTGGTACAAAAACTATTTCAATTGCACAGCCTAACACGAAGAAATTTAAGCTTAAAGTTGGATTGCCAACCGCAAGGGGGGGGGGGCGTATTAAGTGTCCTACAATCGTTTTTAAACCAAAACTCCTGATCGAAAATTGATTCCAAATCATAGCTCGATCGCGTGATGCAAGATTTGGCTCTAGAAAGGGAGAAATGCCAACGACTTTCGTTGGAAAACGGCCAATTGAAGCAAGAATTGGCCGCGTTGAGAAAGGAAAAATTAGAGGTGAGAATGATGAGCAAGTTTAAAAATATCTAAAATAACCTTCATTCAAAAAGTCTAAAGTTCAATTTTAAACATATGAGATGGATTTTTGTTAAGAAAAGTAAAAAAATACCGAATTTTGAAATAAGCAATAAGATTTAAATCGATCTGGTTAAAAACTGGTTCAACTCGAAGATAAAAACAAATGTATTAAAAACTTCAGAAAATCAAAAGCTTATGCTGGGAAAATATTCGTCTCAAATTCGGTTTTTTGTTTTTAATCCTTAGAAATCGTGGCTTTACTCAAGCATTCCCGGAAGTTGTGACCCTAAGAAGAATTAAGCTCGAGAATGAGTATGACATGGAAATGCTGAATCTAAAGATGCCGGACGATTGCTTGCCTGGACTCGTTGCGGTGAGTTAATAAAGTAAAAAAGAATGGGAATGAATCTGGAAGCAAGGGAATTGAACCCTGGGCCTTTTGCTTTTGGATTTTATTGGTGCTTGGCACTCCTGGATATAACGGCTTTCTTAAAGCAGGGCGGAGTGTCTCTGTAGTGTAGTCGGCAGAGCGGAGGCCTCTGGTTCCAGGGGTCGAGGGTTTGTATCCTGCCTAACCTTTTTTGCTTTGATTGATTGTCTTTAAGGATTCGAACCCTGGACCCCTAGAGCCAGAGGCCACCTCTCTGCCAATTACACTACAAAGAGATTCCGACTTGCATTAAGGAGACCCTAATAGCCAAGAGTACCAAGCACAACTTTTCTGTTTTGTTGGAAAACTTTAAACTTAAATATCTCGCGATGCAGGTTGAGTTGGCAGCTAATTTTAGCAGATTATGAATCTCCGTTGTCGATTCTATAAGGCCCACTTGGTTTCGGATCGATTCCCAACTTTGAGTTGAGAACATTCCCTCGTAAGAAGAAATAGGAACGACAAGGAAGAACAAATTGGCTGCTGCTCATTTTTTTCACAAGAATTTTTCCGTTGTACACCTATTGAGAATCAGACGGAAAATGAACAGGTCAGGAAAACCAGTTTAGGATAAACTCGAGGGTCAACGCATCACTTGTCCGTCGTGTGTCGAGCCAGACGGGACACAGATTCTTCGAAATCTTCGAATCTGCGAGGATCATCTTAAGGTTTAGGAAAAGTTTAAAAAAATTTGAATATTCAGGCAAAACACAACAAAGAGCTGTTGGATATGTCGAATGAGGAATTGGAATCGGCGGTAAGTTTTGAAAAAAGAAATTTAAAAGCTTGAGCTGAGCAGTTTCTAAAACGTAGAAAAGTTTCGTAATCCGATTGTTTTTTTAAAGTTTTAAATGCCAGATCAAATATAGTTAAACCAATGGGATTACGGCAGCTTTTCCTGGAGTTCATTTTTTAGAAAAGAGTTTAGATAAAAAACGAGGCTTTTTGTACGCATTGCTTTCAAAACTCACATCGAATGTGCAAAGGGGAAATGCCGAATTTATTGGATTTGAAGGTTTGGAAGGATTTCAATTTCGATTACCTACCGTAAATACTGTAATTGAACAGCATGTCGTTCTAGTAGAGGATGCCGTTCAATTTTTATCGATATTCCAAGTTGCCAAAGTCGGATCCATTCAGATAATTTTTCGACAAAATCAAATTTTTCTTTAAATTGTATTCAATTTGTAACAACAAGTGATAAGAAAATGAACAATTCAACTATCGCAATCAACAAAAACATCAGGATCAATGAATTCATCATTTTCTTCTTGAGCATTCCTTCGTTCAAGCATTCCATCCGTGACTTTTCTTGAAAGAATCGATTCATCAGCAAATCGATTTGCCTCATTCCAAATGATTCAACGGGCCACTCGTTTCTTTTCAACTCAGCTTTATCGGATTCGTTCAGCCAGACCGACATTAATCCCCTCCGAGTTCAAGTGGCGTTCCATCAAGTCTCTTGCGTTTCCCGTGAATCTTCTCGAGCTGGGCCGCTCGTTTGACGTAAGATTGGACGTACCTCCAAGGAACCTTGAAATATCTTGCCGCCGCGATGATCGAAACATCCTTGGCCATCTTTGTAGCAGCCAGTTTCGTCTTCATATCGATGGCTTTCCTCTTTTTCTTTGTAGTTGATTCATCCGCTTTGCTTGAAGATCCTTCAGGTTCAGCGGTGACCGAATTTTCGTTAACATCTTGCTCGGTGAGCTCATCACATGTTTCCCTCATGTTCGTAACGGGCCTGAAATTCCTCCATTCCATCAAACGGGTTTCCATCGAGATCGATATCTAAAAAAATAAAATTAGTACCTATAATAATAATATAATAAGCAGAAAAAGATAAAAACAACAAAATTTATGCTAAAAAGACGTTAGACGCAAGTGATTTTCAAGAAAAAAGAAATATTTTTTACATTTCAAACGTAATTCGTACACTTGCGTAGAGGTGCCATTTATTTACAGTATTTACGTTACTTTGAACTATGACTTGGCTTAATTATAAAAAATTTTAGAAGCTTTTTAAAGGCCGAAAGATGTTAGAATACTTGGAGGCATTGAACGCTGAGGGAAGGGTCGGCAAAATGACGGCAAGGAAGAGCGTTGCAGTGAGGAAAGAGGTTTTGGTGTACTTTGTGCTCAAATTTCTAAACGCATCTTTTCTGGTGCACCAATCTTTAGCTATTCTTGCTGTAGATGCTCAGTAATCCATCTTTTCATCAAATTCTTCAGGATTTAATCGCTAAAGTGAAACAAATGATGAAAGCTGACGTGAAAACTTCGGATGTTGACGCTTCTGTGACTCAATTGGCAAAAAAGATTCAAGATTTCACGAAAACTGTTCTTGATTTCGAGAAAAATATCGATTCCGTTTGTATGAAGGTTTGAACTTTAGGCAAAAGTTTTCAAAGAGAAAATCAATGGACAATCAGTTTACAGATGGTCGAGATCAGGACTATGCCGTCGTTTGCATGGCAAGATACCCGCCATTTGATGGAGGTTTGAACTTTAGGAAAAAGTTTTCAAAGAGAAAATCAATAGTCAATCAGTTTTCAGATGGTCGAGCACCGCAACAGAATGCTGGGCTTTTCCATTTTTGTGAATAAATAAAACCATCTTTCAACAAAGAAACAAAACATTCATTTCCGTTTTCTCAATCATGTTCCCTTTCATCTCTATCTATTTCATGTTGAATTGAAATTTCATGCAAAAGCACAATTTTGGTTTTGCATTTATGCTTTGAGCCCTGAGTCTCCTATAAAATAGTTTGAAAAGATTTTGAATTATTGGGTTGATGCATAATTATCCGGACTTCTTTTTTGCGTGCTTGTATCTTTTTTGTTTTGAAAGCTTTTTGTCTATTTCTTTTTTTTTAAATATTCGTTATTCTTTAGTGAACAAAATGCGTGTCGACAATCATATCCATCTTCGCCATATCATGCTCTACCACTTCGAAAAGGGATGGTCTGCCGCAGAGTCGTTTCGCGATCTCAAAGAACTGGAGAAGCCCCAACGGACTACCACGTCAATCGATCGCTCAAAAATTGGCAAACAAATAAGATCTACAACGATTTGGATGACTTGATAGACGATGTTAAAGCGTGGATTGCCTCCAAAGATCGTTTATTCTTCGCTCGTGGAATCGATCGTCTTCCAAGCAAATGGCAATCAGTTATTGATGTAGGCGGTGAATATGCTCCAGAATAATCAATTAAACATATTTTTCTAACTATTTATGTTATTTTTTGTTAAATAAAATCATTTATAAAAGAAGTCCGGATAATTATGCATCAACCCAATAGATTGATTATTGGGGAATTGAGTGACTTAGGTAAGACTTAAGCCCTATTTTAAATCAAAAATCGCTACTTTAAACTTTGAATTCTGATCTCCAGAACTTCAGAACTATTACGTCAAAAAAATGACGATTTTCTAGAAAAAGTCTTTCTGGTAATAGCCTTTGCGAGTTTTTCGTTAGAGAATACCGCTAATTAAAGTTATTTGAAAATAACATAAAGAACTTCTTTTGTTTCTTTGTCTTCTAGAGCTAAAACTTTGTTTTTCCAAAAAGCCACTTTCAACTTTGGATTCTCATATCACGATAGAAGCTAAGCTAATCGTTTAAGTTTTGGTATAAATATTAAGTAATGCAATATTAAGTAATGCATACCCTTAAAGGAAGGTATAAATCGCAACCGGATAACCATAAAAAATAATTTTTTAAGCCAACAACCTGTTTTTATATTTTAATATTGCTTTTTATTATAAAAAGAATAAAAATCATCGGGCTAGAGTGATTTGATGGGTTTAGAAAATTTTGAAGACGTTGCAAGGCTTGGAGAAAAGCAAGACTCATCAGGCATTAGGCACGAATGATTGCTGTCATTTTCAATCAATTTGTTGTCTAGTCAATCTTTCTTTCATGTCCTATTTTTTGGAAAGTTTTTCACAATCTGAGCATCTTTGTTTCTTCAATTGAGCAAATTTAAAAATAACAAATGATGGCGAAAAGCCAGCTCTTCTTTTAGCCAGCTCTAGCTCTGCATACCAGGGACGGCTACTTCTAAAATTTAACAATCGTTTTTCCACTAACTTATTCTAAGTGTTTATTAGATTTCTCAATTTTACTTGCGCTTAACATAAAATTGAGAAGCGCAAGTAAAATTGAGAAATCTAATAAACTCTTGGTAAGTTTTGGTATAAATATTAAGTAATGCATACCAGGGACTGTATTAATCGCAACCGGATAACCATAAAAAAAAATTTTTAAGGTAACAACCTGTTTTTATATTTTAATATTGCTTTTTATTATAAAAAGAATAAAAATCATTCGGCGAGAGTGATTTGATAGGTTTAGAAAATTTTTGAAGACGTTGCAAGGCTTGGAGAAAAGCAAGACTCATCAGGCATTAGGCACGAATGATTGCTGTCATGTTCAATGTTCATTTTTTTCAGCTTCATTCAGTTCACTTTTTGCAGCAGAAAAACGATTTTTTTTATGAGTTAAATCCATTAGATAAGATGTTTTATAAACTTTCATTCACTTATCAAACTTTTTTTTACTTGCTAAATATGTAATATTGGTGCTTTCTTGCTTTGTGATACAATTTTGTACATTTTGAGCGTGGGAAATGAACGATTTTGAACAAAAAAGAGCAAAGTTTTCACGAAAATGCAGAACAAGAAAGCTTTTTAGTGTCAAGAGTGTTTTCATTGATCTTTATAAAGTCAAGAAATGAATGACAATTGAAACCAAAGGGAATTGAACCCTCGATCTTCTGCTTACCAAGCAGAAGACGATCGGCAAAGCTACCACTGAGCTATCTGACATTCTTTGTTTAAGAAATAGGAAAGACAAGGAAGAGAGAAAGAAAGGAAGAAAGAAAGAAAGAAAGAGAAGGAAATACTTAAGCCAATAGGCCAGCCCAGTAATTTTTTAAGGCAAGGTCAAGCCTGGCTTCTGACCTGCACCAGATCCAAATGGTTAAGTCGAAAAATTTGTGCTCAATTTATTCGAAATGCTATATTAATGCTTTATTCAATCAATTTTCTCATTTTGCAATCAGAAATTGGTTTTGCTTCCGTTGTGCGACTTCTTCTTGTGACCATCGGTTCGATTTGCTCCAACATTCGCATTTCGAGCTCAAAAACCTGTCCCACATTTTTTCTCATTACAAACCAGTTAAAAAATATTCGTTTCGCTTTAATTCATTAATTCTTTAATTCTTTAATTCTTTAATTCAGGCTCTGAAATTCTCTGAAAATTTAATTTTCTGAATAACTTTACTCATTTTTTGTGACAGGAAACTAATAAATAAATATAAAAAGAATCATGAGATACCTATAGATTTAATTGTATGAGTTGAATCTTATTGTTGAATCTTATTCTCTCTTCTTCCCAAGTTCAATCCTGTGCAATCCCCAGCTCTCTTTTCTGAGAGATATAGAGGAATCATTTTTCTTATCACAGAGCAAAACTTTTATTTCCTTGCAAGAAAAATCTTGTTCGGCTTTGATCGGAGAGCCAAATTGATCAAATTTTCTTACTTTTCTGCTTTTTAAATCAACAACTATGATTACTGAGGTTTGTTTTTATTATAATATAACCATTATTCTCCCTTCTTCCCAAGTTCAATCTTGCGCAATCCCCAGCTCTCTTTCTAATGTAAAAATCAATCACCTTTCCTTATCACAAAGCAATACTTTTATTTTCTTGCAAGAAAAATCTTGTTCGGCTCTGATCGGAGAGCCAAATTGATCAAATTTTCTTACTTTTCTGCTTTTGTGCTTTTTAAATCGACAACTATGGCCACTGAGGTTTGTTTTTATTATAATATAATCTTAAAGAAATCAGGATTATTAACTTGTTGTCTGAATATTCAAGGAAGCTGTAAATAACAAAAGCTTCTCATTTGTCTGGTATTCTTTAATTCTTTACCGTTTTTAAAGCTTATCAGGCATTTTATATTCGCCTCGCCCCTTTTTCCATTAGCAATCTAACTTTTAGCTCAAATATCTTTGTATTCGGCTGACCAATTTAAAGATTCTTGGTATCATTAGATGCGTAAAGTCTTTCTCTGTCGATTGGTATAAAAACTATTTCAATTGCATAGCTCAACACGAAGAAATTTAAGCTTAAAGTTGGATTGCCAATCGCAGGGGGGGCGTATTAAATGTCCTACAATCGTTTTTAAACCAAAACTCCTGATCGAAAATTGATTCCAAATTATAGTTCGATCTCGTCAAGCAAGATTTGGCTCGAGAAAGGGGGGAACGCCAACGACTTTCGTTGGAAAACAGCCAATTGAAGCAACAATTGGCTGCGTTGAGAAAGGATAAAACAGAGGTGAGGAAGCATAAATACCTAGAATTAGAAACTAGCCTTCATCCAAAATGTCTAAAGTTCAATTTTAACCATATGTGATGGATTTTTGTTAAGAAAAACAAAAAATACTTAAATTTTTAAATAAACAATAATATTTGAATCGATCTGGATAAAAACTGGTTCAACTCGAAGATAGTAGATCCAAAAAACAACTCTAGACTTTAACGACTTCAGAAAATCGAAAACCTATGCTGGGATAATATCCGTCTCAAGTTTAGGTCGTCGAACCGGAGACAGACATTCGGATCCAATTTATCGAAAAAGATTTGTTGATTCATCGACTTCAAGAAGAGATACAGTAAATAAATATTAAATATTTCTCTTGAATTTCTCTTGAACTCTTAGAAATCGTGGCTCCACTAAAGCATGTCCGGAAGTTGTAATCCCAAGAAGAATTGAGGTCGAGGATAACTGTGACATTGAAATGCTGAATCTAGAGATGCCGGACGATTGCTTGCCTGCACTTATTGCGGTGAGTTAATAAAATAAAAAAAGAATGGGAATGAATCTGGAAGCAAGGGGAAATGAACCCTGAACCTTTTGTTTTGGATTTCATTGGCGCTTGGTACTCCTGGCTATAACGGCTTTCCTAAAGCAAGTCGACGTGTCTCTGTAGTGTAGTAGGCAGAGCGGTGGCTTCTGGCTCCAGGGGTCGAGGGTTCGAATCCTTCCTGAAGTTTTTGCTTTTAGTGATTGTCTTTAATGATTCGAACCCTCGACCCCTGAAGCCAGAGGCCACCTCTCTGCTGACTACACTACAGAGACACGTCGACTTGCTTTAGGAAAGCCGTTATAGCCAGGAGTACCAAGCACAACTTTTCTGTTTTGTTGAAAACTTTAAACTTAAATATCTCGTGATGCAGGTCGAGTTGGCAGCTAATTTTTGCAGATTATGAATCTCCGTTGTCGATTCTATAAGGTCCACTTGGTTTCGGATCGATTCCCAACTTTGAGTTGAGCCCATTCCCTCGTAAGAAGAAATAGGAAAGACAAGGAAGAACAAATTGGCCGCTGCTCGTTGCTCGCTTGCAACGCACCCTTTCTGGCACATTTATCCTTCATTTTTTTCACAAGAATGAGCATCATGTATGCCAGAAGAGATTTGTTTACATTAGAGCTCTAATTTTCGGTCTGATTTTCAATAGGTTTAATAGGTTTCAATAGGTTTTTCATTGTACAGTGAAAAACGAGTTTGCCCCGCTTCAACGACTACTTTTTCAGAATCTCCTAAATAAAAATCGATTTTTTTCAAGCTCTATCTTTTGATCTGAAAAAGCATCCATTGAAGTGATCAAAAACTCGTTTTTCCGTTGTACACCCATTGATAATCAGACGGAAAATGAACAGGACAGGAAAACTGGTTTAGGATAAACTCGAGGGTCAACGCGTCACTTGTCCGTCGTGTGTCGAGCCAGACGGGACACAAATTCTTCGAAATCTTCGAATCTGCGAGGATCATCTTAAAGTTTTTTTGAAGTTTAAAAAAAATTTAAGAATATTCAGGCAAAACATAACAAAGAGCTGTTAGAAATGTCGAATGAGGAATTGGAATTGGCGGTAAGTTTTTGAAAAAAGAAAAGTTTAAACCTTGAGCAGTTTCTAAAGAGTAGAAAAGTTTCGTAATCCGATTGTTTTTTAAAGTTTTAACTGCTAGATCAAATAAAGTTAAACCAATGGGATTACGGCAGCTTTTCCTAATAACTGCTCAGCTGATAGTGAGTAGCTGCTTTAGAAAACATTTTAGATAAAAAACGAGGCTTTTTGTACGGATTGCTTTCAAAGCTCACATCGAATGTGCAAAGGGGAAATGCCGAATTTATTGGATTTGAAGGTTTGGAAGGATTTCAATTTCGATTACCTACCGTAAATACTGTAATTGAACAGCATGCCGTTCTAGTAGAGGATGCCGTTCAATTTTTATCGATATTCCAAGTTGCCAAAGTCGAATGCATTCAGATATTTCGACAAAATCAAATTTTTCTTTAAATTATATTCAATTTGTAACAACAAAGAGTAACAAAGTTAGCAATTCAACTATCGCAATCAACAGAAACATCAGAATCAATGAATTCATCATTTTCTTCTTGAGCTTTCCTTCGTCACTTCAAGCATTCCATCCGTGACTTTTCTTGAAAGGAATCGTTTCATCAGCAAATCGATTAGCCTGATTCCAAATGGTTCAACGGGCCTTTTCAATTCGGCTTTCTCGGATCCATTCAGCCAAACCGACATCAATCCCCTTCGAGTTCAAGTTGGCGCCCGGCTCCATCAAATCTCCTACGTTTCCCGTGAATCTTCTCGAGCTCGGCCGCTTGTTTGACGTAAGATTGGACGTAGCCCCGAGAAACCTTGAAATATCTTGCCGCCGCGATGATTGAAACATCCTTGGCCATCTTTTCAGCAGCCAGTTTCGTCTTCATTTCGATGGCTTTCCTCTTTTTCTTTGTGGTTGATTCATCCGATTTGCTTGAAGATCCTTCAGGTTCAGCGGTGGCCGAATTTTCGTTAACATCTTGCTCGGTGAGCTCATCACATGTTTCCCTTATGTTCGCGACGGGCCCGAAATTCCTCCATTCCATCAAACGGGTCCCCATCAAGGTCCATATCTAAAAAAATAAAATTAGTACTTATAATAATATAATAAGCAGAAAAAAAAATAAAAACATCAAAATTTAAGCTAAAAAGACGTTAGATGCAAGTAATTTTCAAGAAAAATAAATATTTTTAAATGTAAAACGTAATTCGTACACTTGCGTAGAGGTGCCATTTATTTACAGTATTTACGTTAGTTTTAATTATGACTTAGCTTAATTATAAAAATTTTTAGAAGCTTTCTAAAGGCCGAAAGATGTTAGAATACTTGGAGGCATTGAACGCTGAGAGAAGGGTCGGCAAAATGACGGCAAAGGAGAGCATTGCAGTCACGAAAAAGGTTTTGGTGTACTTTGTGCTCAAATTTCTAAATGCATCCTTTCTGGTGCACCAATCTTTAGCTATTCTTGTTGTAGATGCTCAGTAATCCATCTTTTCATCAAATTCTTCAGGATTTAATCGCTAAAGTGAAAGAAATGATGAAAACTGACGTGAAAACTCCGGTTGTTGACGCCTCTGTGACTCAATTGGCAAAAAAGATTCAAGATTTCACGAAAACTGTTCTTGATCTCGAGGGAAATATCGATTCCGTTTGGAGGAAGGTTTGAACTTTAAGCAAAGTCAAAAGTTTTCAAAGAGAAAATCAATGGACAATGAGTCTTCAGATGGTCGAGATCAGTGCTACGCCGTCCTAATATATATATATATGTTGTGTCCGATTTAGATTTCCGTCCGATTTAGATTGAACTTATCGCGGACGTCCGATTTAGATTACAGTCTATATCGGACGACTCAATCTAAATCGGACGTCTTATATAGATTGAACAATAATATAAACATGTTTAGTATATGTTCTTAAGCGTTTTCTGTAGTTTTCTGCATTTTCAAAGGTCTTTTATTGATTATTTCATAGTTGGGTTTTCTTTTCAGAAAAAGACAGTAACAGACCTTTGAAAAATGCAGAAAACTACAGAAAACGCTTAAGAAGATATACTAAACATGTTTATATTATTGTTCAATCTATATAAGACGTCCGATTTAGATTGAGTCGTCCGATATAGACTGTAATCTAAATCGGACGTCCGCGATAAGTTCAATCTAAGTCGGACGTCCGATTTAGATTGAATCTAAATCGGACGGAAATCTAAATCGGACACAACATATATATATTTTTTCTATTTTTGTGCATAAATAAAACCATCTTTCAACAAAGCAATTTAATAGAAAACATTACATTCTGTAAGAATATTTTAAAAAGTTGAAATCAGACTTAAGAAGACGTGAAAAACAGGTGTTCAATTTAACGCTGACATTCCTTAGACCGGAAAGGAAAAATTAGGGTCAAAGTCCGATAAGTGCCTACACCCCCCTAGACATTTGTCTAGGGGGGAGTAGGCAGATTTTATAAGGGTATGCTCTCTTTTTCCACCATATCTTCACTTCCAGTTAACCGATCAACTTATGGTTGTTCTTAAAATGTTCCTTATAAAATTTCCTACGAGAAACTCACAATCTCCTTAGCAACTTTAGAATAAAAACATAAAGAAAATCTCGGTCAAAGTTGGACTAAATTTCTACAAGGTTTACCGTCGTGATTCCTTAGACCCCTCCTCTACAACTATTTCCTAAACTACAAGGTTTCCAATCGATAAATAAAGGAAAAGACAATTTTTGCTTTCCGCTTCACCCTAAAACGTGGATATTTAGGCAAAAAAAGGATATAAAAGTTCCATCCAATTGCATTTTAGCTCTTGCGTTCTTCTCTTTTGCATTTTTCAACATTTTTTCAACATTTTTTTCAAAATTATAATTTACTAGAATTGTTTTGCTGAATACTAAAGAATATAGACCAACTGAAATGTGTATAGAACTGCGTGATGATTTTTCGCTGATTAAAAGGGGGGTACTCCGGCCTAAAAGTTGACTTTTAAGAATCGCGATTATTTGTAGATTATTCGATGCGTTTTAGTCTTTTCTACCACTATTTCCTATATAAAAACAAGGTTTCGAATTTAGAAATGAAGAAAAAACACAATTTTTGCTTTCCGCTTCACCCTAAAACGTGGATATTTGAGCGAAAAGTATATAAAAGTTCCGTCCAATTGCATTTTAGCTCTTGCTTTCTTTCTTTTGCATGTATTTTCTCAAATTTAACAGTAATCTTAAACATTTTTTGTTATTTAATAGAAAACATTACATTCTAAAGAATAAGAATAAGAATAAAAGAATAATTTTAAAAAAAAATGATGATCAGACTTATAAAGACGTGAAAAAGAGGTGCTCAATTTAACAATATATAATATGCTTTATTCAGTTGAATAGCGACAAAACAAAATGACAATAATTACCCGGGACACCACTCAAAACACACCCAAAAGATAAATAGATACCTCAAGAAAGAAGCACAGAGCAGTCAAATCAATTGCAGAAATTGCGGCTTTAAATCTAGCCAAGGTGAGAATATCACGAACATGAGGGGGTAAAATGTTCCAGAATTTAATAACTCGATTAGAAAAGAAACTGTGGGCGCTTTTAGAGGAAACAATGACTTTCTTTAGACCGGAGTAACGGTTTAAAAGCCCAGAAACGAGATTCGTATGCTCATCACAATTCATTCGCCCTTCAATGTTGATCAAGATTCCTTAGCCCCTACAAAAATTGTTCTAAAAGAAATTCTTCTTCATAAAAGTTCCTCACAATCAGTGAATTCGTTCTGCGTGTTTTCCCGTTATCAACAAATTTTAAGAGTCGCTTTGTGAAGAGTTTATCGAATTTTTTTCTTTGCCAATTTCTCTAAAATTTTGTTTACAAGCTGAAAATGTTGATTTCTATCTTGTCAATGTTTTTTTTTTAGTTTGGCTCTTGATTGAATGCCGACAGGATTCG